TGAAACCCCCAACCCCCTAGGAAAAAGAAAAGAAAAAAAAAAAAAAGAAAATAACCCCAAAACACTACCCACCCCAACCTCACCCTCTCCCCTCACCTGGTGCTTCTGGCCCTGGTTTGCCTCTGCTCTCCTGTGCCCTGTTCTGCCCCCAGGTCAGACCTGCTCGGACTTCATCAGAGGGCTTTGACCCACCTGCAGAAGAACCTTTTGGGGAGGAGGTCGCCCTTTCCCTCCTCTGCTCCCGTGTTGGCAGCGGTGTGTGTCCATCAACAAAAGGAGGGAAATCCCAGTCACAGCCAGCCGCAGACAGCATGAATTTCGTGGGAAGAGCCCCCTCTTCTCCCCCTTTCCCCTCTCGCTGAGGGGTTTGATCTCCATTTTCGGCTTCTCCCTCACACCGGGGCACCCCCGTGGAGACCGCCAGAGCCCAACAGCGCCCCCTGCCGGCCAGCACGGAGCAACTGCAGGGGCTGCGCCCCGGAGACCAAACAGCGCCCCCTGCTGGCCCTGGTTTGCACCAAAAGGCGGAAAGTACTGAACTGTTTCCTTTTTGAAGGGGATTTTTGGGTACAAGATTATTGTTTGGTTGCTTTTGTGTTCTTTTGTTGTTCTGCCAATACACATATATCCTTTAATAAAAGGCTGTTATTTTTTTCTTTCTCCATACTGCCTCAATTGGAGCCCCTTAATTTTGGGTTTACAATTGCACAGAGGGAGGAGTTTGGTCTTCCTCATAACTCACACCTGGCTACAACCTCCTTTTGGATAGTTGTAGAGAGTGATGAGGTCTCCCCTAAGCCTCCTCTTCTCCAGACTAAACAACCCCAGCTCCCTCAGCCTCTCCTCATAGGGCTTGTGCTCAAGTCCCTTCACCAGCCTTGTTGCTCTTCTCTGGACCTGCTGCAGCACCTCAATATCCTTTCTGAACTGAGGGGCCCAGAACTGGACACAGCACTCCAGGTGGGGCCTCACTAACGCAGAGTACAGGGGAAGGATCACTTCCCTGCTCCTGCTGGCCACACTGTTCCTGACACAGGCCAGGATGCCATTGGTCTTCTTGGCCGCCTGGGCACACTGCTGGTTCATGTTCAGCCTCCTGTCAATCAGCACTCCCAGGTCCCTTTCTGCCTGGCTGCTCTCCAGCCACTCTGTGCCCAGCCTGTAGCGCTGCAGGGGGTTGTTGTGGCCAAAGTGCAGGACCCGGCACTTGGCCTTGTTGAACTTCATCCCACTGGAGTCAGCCCATCTCTCCAGTCTATCCAGGTCCCTCTGCAGAGCCCTCCTGCCTTCCAGCTGATTGACACTCCCCTCCAACTTAGTGTCATCTGCAATTTGTTAATGGTGGACTCAATCTCCTCATCTAAATTATCAATAGATATTAAAGAGAACTGGGCCCAGCACTGATCCCTGGGGGACACCACTGGTGACCAGCCACCACCTGGATGCAGCCCCATTCACCAGCACTCTCTGGGCCCAGCCCTCCAGCCAGTTCCTGACCCAGCACATGTCTAAACATGCTCCTGTCTAAACCATGGGCTGCAGCTTTTTCAGGACTATATTATGGGAGACAGTGTCAAAGGCTTTGCTGAAGTCCAGATAGACACATCCACAGCCTTCCCCTCATCCACCAAGCGGGTCACCTGATCATAAAAGGAGATCAGGTTGGTCAGACAGGACCTACCCTTCCTAAACCTGTGCTGGCTGGGTCTGATCCCTTGTCCACCCTGTAGGTGCTGTGTGATTGCACTCAGGATGATCTGCTCCATAACCTTGCCAGGCACTGAGGTCAGGCTGACAGGCCTGGAGTTTCCTGGGTCCTCCTTCCAGTCCTTTTTGTAGATTCACCAACTTCCAATCATCTGGGACCTACCCAGAGAGCCAGGACTGTTGGTAAATGATGGAGTTTGGGGTGAGAGTCATATTTATATTTAGAGTGTGAGTGTCAGATAAGCGAAGTCGTGCATTGAAGGTTATGCACACACTGATGTAAGTGCCATAGGCACCAGGATGGGTGCACAGTGATTTTCAGAGTTCCTCAGAGAACAACAAGAGTTCTTGTTTAATAAAAAATAAAACCTTCTCAATGACTTCCACCTGCTCTCATGGTCTCACAACCTGTGCTGCCCCTTTCCAATATGCACTGCCCTTGGTAAGAAGTGCCAGGAATGAATTTGCAACGGGTCACTGTTACTAAAGCCAAATTCATTACATCCTCTACAAAAATCAGACATTATTAATCTGGAAAAGGTTTTACTGCACTGAACATCTATCTGCAGTCAATTAGGAACTAAGAAGGCACACTAATTGTGAGCAAATATTTTCAAGGCCTTATTTTACTCCATTGTATCCAAAACAGCTTTTCACAGTTTTTTGTGAATGGAGGCAGTAACAACTTTTCGTAGTTTGCACAAGCAAAATGAGAATTTCTCCCATCATTTATCATATACTGCAGAATAAAATCCTTGCAAGGTATTCTTGTATTTGATGACGCAAGTCTATCCAATCTCTTGCACCATTTAGGTCAGGTCACTCACTCAGGTAATTTACAGTGGAATGGGATTTGTTTGGAGAAGAGAATTTAGTTTATGACCAAAATGGCCAGCAATTGTCTGGACTTCAATTACTTTCAGTGCTAGGGAAAAAGTTACTTCCTAAAAAAAAAGACAAAATGAAAGTATTTGTAAGTAACTGACCTTGGAAAGCAACAGTTTTGAAGACTGTGATAGATGTCCTGAATAGCTACAGGAGTATCTTTGGCCATAAAATAGCATCATCTTCTCTAGTGCAAGCAATTAGTAGTATTATCTTTCATAGCTTATCCCTGCCTCCAAGGAAAAAAAAAATCACTGAAGGTCAACATTAGAGTGAAAATCATACTTACTAATATGCTGAAAACTTAAAGGTAAACCAGACTGCAAAAGTCCACAGTAATTTTCAGCAGCTCATCTCAAACTCCAGGCACTGCTGGGCAGTAGGTCACATTTATTTCCATACTTTGACACACTTCTCATGTTACAGTACTACACTTTTTATACTCTTCTGAAAAACAAACAAAGAGAAAAGTAAAGTCATTTGCTTCAATGACAAAAGACAAAACTGTGGATTTGCCACCACCAAACCTGGGCACAGTGCCCTTTCTGGGCAACAATAGAGACCCAAAGGTTACACCTTGTGAAGGGAGGGCTATACAGGTGTGTAGAGGAGCATCTCAGACACATCAGCTCAATGGAATTGTAGAATCACAGAATCCTTTTGGATGGAAAAGTCCTCTAAGACCCCCAAGTACAACGATTGGCCCAGCATTGCCAAGCCCACCACTGAACCACATCCCCAGGTGCCACATCCACTCATCTCTTCAGCACCTCCAGGGGGGGTGACTCCCTGGGCAGCCTCTTCCAGTGCTTGAACACCCTTTCCCTGAAAATATTTGTCCGCATATCCAGTCTAAATCTTCACACCATGGTCTACATTATACTCCTAGTATTGTGTCTGATACCTCAGGGTTTTGATTTTTTAAAATGTTGTCGATTTTAGAAGTAGTTATGTAGTGAATGTAGACTTTAAAGTAGCAGCACATTATCCCTTACCCTTTAACACAAGTAGTTACACATAGCAAACCCTGTTACCCATTCCCATATCAATTCCCCTAAATTCCATTAGCCTGTTTAGCCTCATTTTCAAGGTAGAATTGTAGAGAACACCCCAAAATCTGCGCAAGAAGATATAGCCATAGACACAACGACCTTCAGGCCCAGAGCTTTGGAAAGCCTCCAGGAACAGCATGTGCTCTGAGGAAGAGGAAGATGAAGATGAAGGGGTCCTAAAAGGCCCCCAGACCCAATTCCATGAAGGCGTGTCGAGGCGGGGGGGGGGGGGGGGGGGGGGGGGGGGGGGGGGGGGGGGGGGGGGGGGGGGGCAGAACTGGGGTGGCAGAACTGGGGTGGTGGCCGGGTGGGGACCGGGTGAAAATCATTATAAAAACTGTAAACACCTGTATTCAGGTGAGTTCGGTGGTGGTATTCCTGAAGGCCTGGGGGCTCATTAAAGCCTTTTAGTATCCTTATCTTACCGCCTACCTAACTTGGCCTGGAGTTTTTTTTCCTCTGCAGTTTTTAGGAAACATGTCCAAAGCTGATAGGGTGAGGGGGGTGTGATGTGTGGAGAAAACGCAGACTCTTACACTTCCGTGGGGTTTTTGCCCATGATTGCTTATCAAAGAGTGACTAAAGGCCTGAAAGTGCAGTTTTGCCTTTAATTTTTATCACAGCTATTAGCTACCAGTTCTCTTTGGCCCTGTAACTAAGTCCACCAAAATCCTCCAGCGCTCAGGACCGCGAATTCCTCCCCCCGTCAAGGGGAGAAACCATTACTATTGTTGTCACTGTTGTTATTATTTAAAACCAACAAAATAAATTCACAGGAGATGGGCAGAAAGGTTTCGGGGCGGGTCCGTGGGCGGTAACCTCGCCCCACCCGTCCCGGTCCCGCGGGACCAGAGGAAATTTGGGCACTACCGGCCGCCGTAGGCGGATCTGCCACCCGGAACGAACCGCTGCGTTGTTTTCGCCCAGGAGCGGGCGGGGAGATGGCGGGGGCTGGTGGGGCCGCGGCGCGGAGCCGGTTCGCGGTGGTGGGCGGCGGCATCGCGGGGGTCACCTGCGCCGAGAAGGTAAAAGGGGCCGGGGTCGCGTCCCCCCCCCTTCACCCCTTCCGCGCGTGCGCACAAGACCCCCCCACCCCGACCCTTCCCGCCTTGCCCGCGAGAGCGGGGGGCGCGAGGCCCCTCAGGGGCGGCAGCCATGTTGGCCCCGGGCCCGTCGGCTCCGCCCGGCTCCAGGCGGGAATTGTCTCCAGGCGGGAATTGTCCCCAGGGACCCCGCGGAGGGGCGGCTCCCTTGCCCTATGGCGGAACTTCAGAGCCCCTGCCGGCCCCATGCAGCAACCTGGGCCGGCCGTGCGCTGGTGGTACCGGGCTGTGCGGCTGGCGGGACCGCTCGGGTGTCTGCGCTCATTTAGAGACATAAATCCACCTCTCATACTCGCCTTGCGCGCTCTCATAGAAACATTTCGCTAGAGTTACATAGTGACTGCATAAGCATTCTTGTTTATGCAGTTGTTCCATATTCTGGCCTACCTTCCACCCTCATTTCTTACAAATATTTTGCCCCAGTTGAAAAAAAGCCAAAAGCCAAACCTAGTCCCGGGGCTGCAATGTTGTAATATAATCCTATCTATCTGTCCAGAAGTACTCCTCAAGAGGTTCAAACTGTGCTGCAAACAACCTGATAGGGTTATTTTGAAGCAGCTTATTGCTCCATAAAAAGAAGGCTAAAACTTCATAGGTGCAGAAAGCTGGCGTTCTGTTTGCTGGCCCAGAGCTCAGGGAGGTGTAGGAGCCCCGCAGGATTTATTCCATATAGCCATAAAGGACTCTGCTGCAGCCAAGGTGAAGGCAGCTGTGTTGCTCTCCTATTTATAAAAATAATGCTCAGTTTGTAGCAGATCCATGTTTTAGGGCTGTACACCTGTGGAGCTTGTGTAGTTTTGCTCAGCTCCCCGTGAGCAAAACCTCTAAAAATAAATTAGTCCTGTTCCTTTGTTTTGAGGTTCATGATGCCTTTAACGCAACAGTAACTGGAGGTAATTTTGTACCTACAATGTGGAATGAAATGTGCAAATTAGTTCGGTGAAGAGTGTTTTATCTATTGAAAGTGCAGAGCAGTATAACAATTGTTTCAGATATACCTGTTCTCTGGTGATGTCAGGGTCCCTCTGGATTGCATCCCTTCCCTCCAGCTGACAGCACTGCTTGGCTTGGGTTACCTGTAAACTTGCTGAGTTTAAAATGGGAACTCTGTCTTTGGCTTGGGGCCTTAAAAGTCTTGCGTTACTTAGTAGCACTCTGAAGGTGATAATCTGTTAAATAGCATTTAAAATACTCAGTAGAAATCAACATTTCATCTTTTAAAAACCTGTAAACAATTACTCACTGCTGTGCAATAAGAAAAATGTGTATCCAGCAACTGGGTGTCTCCAGACACCACATGATCATAGTCTGTTCTGCAGGGTGGCCTTTGGAATACTGTGGGAATAAAGTAGTCCTTTACACACCATGGCTGCAGTTCTTGGAAGTGTTTTTGTGTGTGAAGTAATTGAAATACTGGGTCTCCAAATTCTCTTCATTTCCACAATCTTGAAGTCATGTTTGTACAACAGGATTTTACAAGACTAAAGTAATGTATTAACACATATTACTTTTCACCAATAGTTTTATTGTCATGAAGTCAAAATCTGATGGTGACTCCCATCACTGTTTCTGTTTCTTTACAAGCTGGCCACGGAATTCCCATCAGAAGACATTTTTTTAATGACAGCTTCCCCAGTTATAAAAGCTGTAACCAATTTCAAACAGGTAAGAGAGATTTGATTTTTCTTATGGCAAGACCTCTTCAAAGTTTATATGTACAGATAATTTAGAACCCAGTTTGAAGATGCTCATGACTTTGAAATTGCTTCCACATTAGTGTGATTGCAGTGGTGTCAGGAGGACTGATGAGATGTTTTGTAGTTTTTCAGAATCATTAGTAACTGCTGAGTATGTTCACACCATTTGAGCAAAGGTTGAACCGGGTACTTACATGGTTGAAGTGTTTTCAGAGTTACTGAAGTTTTATTTCATTGCTTTGGTAGTAGGTACTCCATTTTAAGCACTGAAATGGTATCTTAAGTCTTGCCCATGGATCTCATACAGTAGTGTGTTTGAACCTGGGGCAGAATCAGACTTCTGACAGAGTAGCAAAAGAAGGGAGAGCCTTCTGGGAAGTTGCCTTGAGGTTTATCTGTGTCTCCAGCAGCTGGTGATTCAGTGACCTCTTCCCTGCTGGTTTAAAAAAGAAAATAAAATCCCTGCACGATTCAGATTTCTGGCCAATAGTGGTTCATTGGGCTAGTTTTGTAGACGTACTAAGATCTTGGAAAACACTGCTCTTTTCTCCACTCTGAAGGAACTTAATCTCTATCCTTAGGGTTAAAATTGTCTGTAGTACTTTGACTCTTTAACCAGGAATAGGCATGAGAATATTCTATATAGTAAAGGGAACTTTTAGCAGTAACATGATTACATGTTTTCAGGCAATATGGGCTTTATGTTGTGACTTCTGTACTGGAAATGAACATAAGACATTCTGTTACAAACTTTAGGAGAAGAGAGGGATAAATGATCCATATTTTTAAATACCTGTCTTTTTCCTACAGGTGTCCAAAACACTCGAGGAATTTGATGTAGAAGAGCAACCAAGTTCCATATTAGAAAAACGATACCCCAATATTAAAGTTATACAGTCTGGAGTAAAACAATTGAAAAGTGATGAACACGTAAGTTAGTATTTCCTTTTTATGTGGTTTTTCAAATTATTTGTATAAAAAATAATTTTGGAAGCAGTTGAGTGTTTTGGATGAGAAAATTCTGTTCAAGAACATTCTAGTTATTGAAGTGTTAAGTTACCAAAATTTAAAGAAAATACTTCCTAAATTTAATTCACTTATTGCTTACACTGTTTTTCAAGAAGAAGTATGTACAGGGGACCAAATTGTCCATCAAAAATTACTGGCTACTGTGATGGTGTTTTAGTTTAGGTCTCTGTGGACATAAATAATTCATGTATTTGGAGGATCTTTTGCCCAAAACCTTTAAAAACTATTTTTGTGCAAAACCACTATGTAGTTTCTAGTTTGTAAAACAACAGGTAAGGTCATAAACCAGTTACATTTAAGATTTTCTTTTTTTTCAGAAGGACATAGCTTTAGTGCTTCCCCTTTATCTTCAGCAAAGAACTGAATTTGCATTATTTCTAAACCGTGTCCTAGCCTATGCCTGGTTAACACAGTTAACTGCTGTTGAAGTGTTTAGAATGAGATTCTTAATTGCTAATATACAGCAATGCATAGATCTGCTTCTGTTACTGGAGAATAAAGTGCCACCAAGTGGTAAGCTTGGTGTTTCTTGGAGTGCACAGTGTACTTGCCATTTCATCGGTCATATACTTAAGTCTGTGGTGAGTGCTGCAAATAAATGCCACACAATCAGTGACATTTAAGGCTTGCTCATTAAGAAGCCAGTTACAGCTTTTAATATGTGCAAATTACTATGATATTAAGGAAAAAGAAAGCTGAAGTTCTCTCAGATGTCTTGATTTAGGGGAATTCTCTTAAATTAATTGGTTTTTCTTTTTTTAACAGAAAATTTTCACTGAAGATGGGAAGGAATACGTATATGAAAAGCTTTGCTTGTGTGCTGGAGCAAAACCAAAATTAATTTTTGAAGGAAACCCATATGTATTAGGAATCCGGGATACTGACAGTGCACAGGTAAGTGTGTTCTGGACTTAAAAGTGTTTAATGCAGTCCTGCATCTGGTGCAAAATACTAAAAATTGTTGTGGAGGAAAATGAAGAAACAGAAGATGATGTTTGTTATTATACATCCTTAAATAGGAACATTTTCAGTAGCAGAAAAATAGCCTTTTATAGATTAATTAGCCACTAAATTTGTTAAGTTTATAGATAGCTCACACACAGGATTTGTAACATGATAATACAGAAAAAAATTATATTTATTCGCCCTCCAGGCAGAATCCAGTCTGAAAATAGAAAGAGGAAGTAGGCACCGGTAGAAACTTCCCTGGGAAGGTGTGTCTGGTACATGGTACAAAGGGCTGCTTCTTACAGTGAAAAGCCACTGAAGGAACAGTGGGAGAGAGAATAGAATCCAGGATACTTCTAAAAGCTCTATCTAGTTGGCTTAAATGTAATTATTTAATTCCTATCTCAATTTGAGGCTTGTAAGGCTGTATCAGTTACTTCATCCCTTCAGAGGTTTCATGAGCTTCTGTTACAGATCTCAGCCTAACTAGATGTGTATCATTAGACTGCAAAAATCAAAGTAAGACTAGGAGCAAGAAAATATTGACAATGGTATAATTGATTGGTGTGAAGGAACGTGATCCAAGTTGTAATTGACATTTTTCCTTTCTTAATGCAGGCTTTTCAGAAGAATTTGGCTCAAGCTGAGAGAATAGTAGTGGTAGGAAATGGTGGGATTGCCCTTGAATTAGTGTAAGTAAACAGTAGAGACTTTGGAAGATACATATTTAAATAAAATCTTTAACAATGCAATGTTAATTCTAGTGAACATGAGTTTGGGAGAAGGATAACTTCCAAAATTGTAGCTCTTAAAGCATTTAGTAGCAAAACTGATTACAGCTATTTTTTTCTCAGTATAGTGGTGCCTACTGTCACATCAAACAGTGGTGTTTAATGACACAATTAGGAAGGCTTCCAAAGAAGCTTTGACACATAGATGCCAAGAATACACAGCTCATGTTCCATATAGTACAAATGAGATCCAAGTGTCTGGTTTTAGTAGTGGGCAAAAATGTCAGAACTTCTTTTACATATGGGGAGCAGGAAATAAGTAGTAGTAGTATTATAAATTTTATTGGCCTCCCCTCATCCCCTGCCCTGGTTCAGTCGAGGCTGTGCTCGTAAGAAAGCTTGATGAGTTGTTTTTTTAATGAGTTCCTTGTGTAAATATTTAGAAGTGGATTTAATAGGTTTGAAAGTCTTGGATCCCTTAGTTCTGGCTTCTGGGGAACTTTACACACTTCTAAACATGTTGCTTTTCAGGTAGCCTGTCACTTTATCCGTTTTTTAAATGTCCACAGGTATGAAATTCAAGGCTGTGAAGTCATCTGGGCTATCAAAGACAAAGCCATTGGGAACACTTTTTTTGATGCAGGAGCAGCTGAATTTCTCATTCCAAAGCTGACTGCTGAGAAACAAGAGACTCCAATCGAGTGCAAAAGAACCAAGTACACAGTGGAAGGTGTGGTGCTTTAGACTCCTAACGCTGTAGCAGCATTTGATTGATTCAGAGAGTCCTGAAATCAGTTAATTTATTAATGTTCTGTGCAGTGGAGGGGAAGTGCACGTCTGCTACCAAGCAGACATCAGTTTAAATATGAGTGATACTGAGCTACGAAAAACTGTCTGCAGTGGGTCTCCAGAAGCTGCTGCAGTTGGGGGCTGGCTGGCTGAGAAAGTCCACGCAGGCACGTAACAGGGTCACAGTTGTTTCAGAGACAGGGAAGTAATGAGTGGTATGAAGTTGAAAGGTGTTAAAAATACTGGTCTGAATTCTGATTTGTCTGCAAATTAATGTGGTTTTCTGGGATACTACACACTTTTGCCTTCCCTTTTGGCAGCCCAGTGGTACTTCTATTAATTGAGAATCGTTGTCGTGAATTCTGTGGGCAAGCAAGTGTGCACACTAAATCTGATATGCTCCATCTGTTTCCTTCAGGAAGCCAGGAAAAAGAAAGACCTGCAGCAGCATCTGACAAACTGGGCAGTGCCTTAGGACCCGACTGGCATGAGGGCTTACATCTTAAAGGGACTAAAGAGGTGTGGAACAGTCTTGCTTACACATTCATTTGAATGTTGCTTTAACTGGATGAGGACAGAACATGAAATGTCACATTCAGGGTTATTACAAAAATAAAATGTGCTTGATATGGTTCTCCTGTAAGAATCAAACGGCAAAATACATTAACACAAATAAAGTAAAATTTTCTGCTTCAGGAAAAAGGTGGTTAACAGGATCCACTGGCACAGTTTTAGCAAGTTCGTGTTGAGACTGAAACATAAATGTTGGCTTGCACATTTCTGAAGGACTGATGTCAATCCTAGCTATGATCAGAAGCAGTGGTACTTCTATTGTCCTGATTTTTAGCTGCCATATAAACATTTTCTTATGTGCAAAATGGAACAGTAGGATTGAACATCAGCATCCTGTCACAGCAGATAATAAAATGCAAAATCAGTAGTGGATATGGGCATTGCAAAGAGTTTCATGTTTGAAATAAATGAAAAATCCTCACATTTCATATTTTTTATCCATTTTTTTATTCATTTCTTAGCTGTTAGGTATTTGCATCTTTTTTGCTTTTTTAGAAATGACCTTTCAAAGGTGATCAGTCACAGATTCACACAAAGAAGTGGCTTTAGAACACCAACTAAAGGATGTTTAGGATATTGAGCAGCTTAATTGGTGGTGGTTTGGCTGTTGAAGGCTGTGGAAAGGTTTCTGTAGTGGAGAATAAAGCACTTCAAGACCGGAATCCACAAAATAGTTCAAAAAACAGGGATCTCCACCTTCTGTCTTAAGCTCAGAATAGGTGTAGTAAGTGGTTGAAACATGGGTTGCTGAAAAAGAATATATGTTTTTACAGCCTTTAGACCATAAACTTAATATTGTTAGTAGGATTTCATTCATGGTAGAAAAATTAAGTATTTGCAATCCTGAAAAACAGAAAAGATGAATTTACTTTTTTCTGTTCTAATAAGTTTTGAGTTCTCTTTTTGTAAGCTCAGGGGAACTTGAATATGTTTTCTGGCATGCCAGAAAAATCAGTTGTCTGAAAAAGCAGGTAAATTGCCATTGGTTGTGGTTAGATCTGTGCCAGAAAGAGGGAAAAGTGTGGGAACCTGGCTAATGTGTCATGCTTTAGGATAGGATATATGGTGGGTTTTTTTCCCAGTTTAATAATGTCAACTTAGATGAAGGTATACTTGCTATTAGAAATCTTGTTATTGCTAATCATTATGTTTAAAATTTTGTCAATCTTTTTTCAGTTTTCTCATAAAGTACATATTGAAATACTATGTGAAGTGAAGAACATACTCTTACAGCAAGAATTTATACAACTGCAGAGGACTTCTTTGACTTTTCCTAAAGAAGAGAAAAATGTAGAACCAGATCAGGGTAAGTGCCAGTGCTGATTAAAAATAACATGTTGAAGATAAAGCGGTGCTGGTGCATGTTTGATCTTGTTTGCGAGCAAATACAGATTTGGAGCATAAATCCTTTATCTCTATAAATGGAGTATAGTGACTTAGAGTATCGAGTTTATTGGCTCTAATTAAATTACAAAACTTCATGGGTCAGACTCTTTTTCCATAAAGTCACCAAAATCCTGTATGCAGAACATTCCCTCCTTGTCTCAGTCCAATAAAGTCATATTTAATAGTCTAGTTAAAATAGAAGAAAAAAAGCCACCAGCATTTTGTTTGAAAACTGAAGTAAACCTTGAAAGTAGAAGAAAATATCCCTTGTTTTATGAGTAATTCTGTCTATAAATTCCACTGAAAGAAAATTAATATTTTAAATACATTTTAATAGCCAGATACTTCCAGCATGGGATTCTAGGAAGTCAAATCTCTGATGATTTTGCTTTTGAGGCATCTGTAAAGTTACATGTAAAAGAATATTTGACAATTGCATACTTCAGAGAACATCCCAGAGGACACAGTATTTTCTCCCCACAAATAAGGGATTTGATTAAGGAAAATTTCAAAGAGTCTTAATAGTAGGAGTTGGAGCTCAGCTTCGAAATGTTTTTTTTTTTTCCTCTAGTCCTGAGCGAAGGTAAGAAATGTTATAGGTAACCTCTGATTTTTTTTTTTTTTTTTTAATTTCATTTTTGTTCTTCTGTACCTAAGCAGTTATCTCAAAAGGTTTTTTTCTTTTAAGACATAATTAATAAAATAATTTCTGTTGGTTACATTCTCAGGGCAAAATTTTCCCCTTTTTCAGTGCTATGGCCTGTATATGTGGAATTAACTAATGGAAAAATTTACGGGTGCGATTTCATTGTCAGTGCAACTGGAGTGGTGCCAAATGTTAAACCTTTCCTTGATGGCAATAATGTAAGTACACTGATTTCTTCTGGAGCTTAAGTTGCTTTTTAAGCAAGGTGAAAGAATAATTTTTGTGTTAATTCTGCACCATGTTCTTATCTTACAAATCTTAACTTTTTGTCCTGAGAAGGAAACAGCTATTTCCAATATTTTTCATCTGGAACACTGAACTATAACAGTTCTCATATTCACCAACGGAAGTCACACTGAATCAGCATCCAAACATAGAGAATGATTCCAGAGTTTGTAGCTGCCGTGTGAATTTTCAGGCCTTTGGATAATTCTGTGTCCATGTTCAGTGTCCAGTTTACCCCAGCCAGCAGCTCAGCCCCACCCAGCTGCTCGCTGGGTCCCCACAGAGGGGAGGGGAAACAGAGGCACAAGAGTTAAAAGTGAGAAATCTCACTTTGACATAAAGACAATTTAGGTAAAGCAAAAGCTGTGCTCACAACCAAAAAAATTTCATTCCCTGTTTCCCATCAGCAGGGAGATGTTCAGCCATTCCCAGGAAGGCAGGGTTTACAGGCACGACACTTAATCAGGAACACAAGTGCCATAATTGTGAATGTCCCCCTTTCCTCCTTCCCTGAGCTTTTCTTGCTGAGGACATCATGTGGCTTGGGGTTCCCCTTTGGTCAGTGGGGTCAGCTGCTCCAGCTGGTTCCCATCCCAATTTCTTGTGCAGCCCCAGCCTTAGAGCTGACAGGGCAGCAGGAGAAACAGAAAAGGTCTTGGGTAAGCTCTGCTCAGCAACAACTAAAACATCCCTGGGTTATTAACACCATTCTTATCCCAAATCCAAAAAATAGCCCCATACCAGCTACTACTGAGAAAATTATCCCAGACAGAACCAGTATGTTGGGTTATTTGGTGTTTAGTGGTTCCATCTGATTAGGAAATAAAATGCTATGCTCTGATAAATGCTGAAAACATAGATCTGATGTTGAGCCATGAGAGATTTCCAGGCCTGCATTCTAAGGATAGATCAGGAATTAGGTTTTTGCATTGGTATTTTCTCACCTTGGCAAAAATACAAAATGAAATCATGTAGTGTGATTTGAAATTTGGCAAGCTCTGTCACTTGCCTGCCTAGGTATGAGTAACAGTATTTTAAAAACCTGTGCTGTGTTCTAGAAATAATCTTAATGCTCTGTACCTTCCGTGGAGGTCTTGCCATTTGGGATAGTCTCATGTTAAATAATAAAGTAACAAAGGAGATGATTGCTTAACGTGGATGAATTGAATGACAGTTAAAATTATGACTTCTCATTACTGACCTGTGCAAATGCTTCAGTTTGCTGTAGGTGAAGATGGAGGACTCAAAGTAGATGAACACATGCACACATCGGTGCCAGATGTGTACGCAGCTGGAGACATCTGCACGGCGGCCTGGGAGCCGAGTCCTGTGTGGCACCAGGTACGTCCAACTCTACGAGTGTCTGAGACAGTCTGACCCACAGAGCAAATCACACACCGTGACACACTCCGAGGAGGGAAAGTCTAGGCAAGTAGCTAATCCTGGATGTGTTGATGACAGATAACTTTATCTGGGTGGCAGGAAACCAAGCTGTCCAGCCCTCCCGAGCATCACAGAAACACACAGTGAGCACTGAGGAGAGCAGGGAGTGTCGCTCTGTGCACAGCCACGCGCCTCTTGTGATTGAGATCTTTCCAATTTTCCTCTCCAGATGAGACTGTGGACTCAAGCTCGGCAGATGGGATGGTACGCGGCAAAATGCATGGCAGCAGATGCTTTGGGGGAATCTATTGATATGGATTTCAGCTTTGAACTATTTGCTCATGTTACAAAGTTCTTCAATTACAAGGTAAAGTAAATACAGTCTACTGGTCTTAAACCACCGGGTAACACATACTGCTAATTTATACTCGTTAACACTGAGCAGGTGCTTTAATATTGACAAAACAGTTTTCTTTATATAGTGATTAATGTTAGCTCAGATTGTCTCCGTTCTCACTAACTTTGAGTGCAGAAACTGAAAAGGGCAAAGATCTTTACAGATACATTACAAATTGCACTTGGTGAATGACACCTGATCTGCCTTGTATCCCTGTATATATTCCATTTCATTAAGGTTCTGCTCATGGCTAAATTCAACACAGTTCAGCATGATAACTGGTTTACTGTGGGGTTTTGTGTATGATATTTCAAGGTGAAGAGTTTTGAGTCTGTCATGGGTTTTGTTGTGGGAGGGTCCCTAAATACTTACCTGTTTACATTAGTCTTTTGAGGCCTAGAACTGTTGGCAGCAGAAATACTAAAAGCCACTGCAATGTTCTTATGAGTGCTTCTCCTTTCTCCTTTTCCTTCTGTTAGGTGGTGGTTTTGGGGAAGTACAATGCTCAGGGCTTGGGCTCAGACCACGAACTGATGCTGAGATGTACCAAGGGACAGGAGTACGTGAAGGTGGTGATGCAGAACGGCCGAATGGTGGGAGCTGTGCTCATCGGTGAAACGGACTTGGAAGAAACCTTTGAAAACTTGATTTTAAATCAGATGGATCTTTCAGCCTATGGGGAAGATCTCCTGAATCCAGATATCGATATAGAAGATTATTTTGATTGAACACAACCCCTTTTCCATTTTGTATAGTTTTGATACAAAGTAAAATTGTTTTCTCGGGATTACCAGAAATGAGGGATAAACGCAATTCCCTATTAAGATTTTGTGTTTATCTTGTCAAAATACTGGCTGGCAGCCTAATCTGTGTAGAAATGCAGCAACAGAAGCAAGCGGGTTGGTGTTGGCAAACGCTTTTTGTCTAGATGAACATATGAAAACAGCCTCAGCAAAGGCCACGTTTTAAGATGGTGCATTCACTGGAACATGAGGGAGCCTTTTTAAAAGCAAGAAAAACATGTTAAAACCCTCCCTTCCCCAAACCAGCCATTCCACCTGCTGTGGTTACCAGAGCCCAGTTTCCCCATGGCTCATTCCTGAGCATGTCCTGCAGCTCAGCCTGTGAGCCCCCACGGGAGCCAGGATGCCTTGATGGGAAGATGTGGCCTTACCTGCTGAAAGCTCCTCCAGCCTTGGGTGGGGTGAGTCCTGGCCAGGGTCAGGAAAGCCTCTGCTACCTCAAACCACGTGCTCAGGTGATTGTTTCCAAGCAGTCAGGCAGCCTGTTGCCATCCCACTGGCACCACTCCACTGCTTCCACCTGTGGGTGCCTGCCACAGCTCTGTCCAGTTGGGTCAATGAACAGTTCTAGGATATGGGGAGCTCAGAGCTCCAACCACCTGGAATATGAGCTGCAAATACACAGCAAAATGGATGCCTTATCCTTTTTTTTCCCCCCATAAGTTTATTTTTCAAACAAATGTATTTACTGCTCAGCTAAGTACAAAACACACATTTGGCATGATGAGATGTCAGGTGAGAGCAGCTTTTTAAACTGTTTTTCACGTTGGTTCTCCAGTTGTAGAGCTGCACTGGTGCATCCTGTCCCAGCTCCAACAGGACCAGTGGGCAGTGCACTCCCAGGAAGGATGATGCACCAGCACTGGCAGGGGTCTCCTGCAGCAGTCTTCCCTGGGAAGAGCCTGTGGATCAGGCTGCAGTGTCCAGGTAGATGGTACAAGATGCCATTTTGAATGGCAGTCCCAGATCCCGATGGGATTTGTAATTGGCACTTACTACATTTGCTTAATGAAAGTCCTCTTGGGGAATACAGATCCTGGTCACTTCCTGTCTGTTCCTCTTTACCACTGTCCTGCACATTGGTTCCAGGAAGAAATTTTTGGAATTTTTCAAGTACTAAACTCCAAGTTGACGTGATGTGATGGTAACTAAATTACAGCTAGTGACAAAAGATCTACAATTAAGTTTCCAGTGAGGGTTTAAGCTGTTCGTTTTCAATAGTAACTGGCCCAGTGGCTGCATGTTTAGTTACGCAAGACGCACTTTAATAATAGTGATTTGGCTGTACGGACCTGCTTCAACCAAGCTCCTCCTTTTTTACTTGCTAGGCCTAATTTAGTGCCTAGGTGATAAAGCCCAACAATTGAAGCTATTAATGTCCTTTATGAATTTCATAGGGTGACCCAGGGACATGGGTTGTTTCGTTCTGGCTTTTTGTTTGGTTCTGCAGTTGCTACTTGGGAGCTGCTGTTTATTTAGTGTCACACAAGGAACAATTTATTGTGCTCCCCTAACTGCAAAGGTTTCAGTACATATTGAGACTTCCCCCAGAAAATCACTCTAAAGAGAATGACTCTTTCTAATTAAATTAATTCCAAGTTTTGCAAAGGTCTCAGTTAAATGATGGATGAAATACTGAGCTTTAGTCACTGTCAAAATTTAATCAGAAAAATAAAGATGAAGGACATGTTCTTGATGATGTTTGTTTTATATTTGTTATACATGTAAATGTCAGGGGAGGGGGGGGAGAACCCAAATGCAAAACCCTAGAACTTAACATTTGTTAATGAGTTTGAACTTGCCTTTCTGATCTTTGGCTGCTAAGGCCTTAAAAGTAAGTGAATAAATAAAACTGAATCCAGCACCCAACCTCGTGTGTGCTGAGCAGGGCTTGCAGGCAGCAGTGGCTGGTGGATCTTTACCAGGTTGCCAGCACAGCCACTTGTTTCTGGAAACACTGATATTCAAAGGAAGGCGGCAGGGATGTATTTCTACAACTGGACAGGGGGCTGATAATCTTGTCTAGACTCCCTGTCCAGGAGGGGTTGGTCCAGACCTTTCAGGGTCCCTTCCACATGATCTGCTCTGTGCTTTTGTGTCACCTGAATGTAGAAAATTGGGAAGCCACAGGCTTTGCTCCTTGTTTGGAAAACATCACTTTCCTCAAGCTTACTTGCTGTATGAAAATGAGCCCTCTATTACTACAGAGCTTTTCCTTTACCTAGTACACTAAAGGCCCTCCTGTGTTCAGTCGCAGGCCCTGACAGCGTGTTCAACTTCAGATATAATTTTTCCGCTTTTCTTGGAGGACGGGGGGAAATCAGTTTCCATCTTAATTCCAAATCTCAAAATTAAAATTCCACCATCGTTTCTTAATTATCAAATTCCCACAACTTCTGAAGCATCTCGTGTCTTCTGTTCTACTCTTACTTGGTCATCCTGAGTGATTTTTTATCTTTGAGCAGGAGGTTGGACTAGATGATCTCGAAGTCCCTTCCCGACTGTGCGATCCTGCAATACTGTTACTGTACACTACACTTTCAAAAGAGTTATAAAGGCAACACAGTCATTATTTACATTCTGTATTAATTGCTGTATCCTAAAATAAGCACCAATTATTTTTATAAGACACATTTTTCCCTTCACTGGGAAAATGGACTTTTTCTAAATACTTGTTTCCCTGGTTGGATTTTATTAAAAAGAAGTAAAATAAATACCATTACTAAAGCACAAATGGAACATACTGCATTGTCCATGGAGAAGTAAATGTGATTAGATCCTAAATGTAGTCTGTGAAACTCAGTCAATAACCACTGGTTGGTCAACTCCACCTGCCTCAAGCTTAGGCTTCTTTGCTTTTAAGTCAGACCCACAGCCAGGCCGCTTATGCTCCTGTAACTTCTTCCCCACTGAATCCTGGACAGCCTTTGAAACAGTCTGAGCATTTTTGCTGCTTCCTTTCGAATTCGAAGGTTGAGATGATTTGGCCTGTAAGTTATAAACAATTCTGTTAGAATTCTAACATTGTTTTCTTTCTTTTTCCACGTTCCTACACGAGAGAAAATACTTATGAGGTCTGTTTTAAACCCTGTTGATTGCATTGCTACAAAAATACTTTGAGCAGATACTAAACTATTCAAATAAGCTATAATAGAGCAGATATCTACATTGCAAGTCAGTAGAGATATAAGTACCTTGTCAACACTTTTCCTGTTTGTCATCCCCTCTATAGTGATGACGTGGTCCTCGTTTTTCAGCAGACGGGCTTTGGGTCCCACCTTCAGGTACGAAATTGTAGCGAATGCCGTGAAGCTGAAGTCTTCCCTGCACGAATTAAATCAGTGTTACAAGGGAAGGTTGGAGACAAAGACAGGCTTGACCACGCAGGGGGAAAAATCACAGAATCATTAAAAGGTTGGAAAAGACCTCTAAGATCATCAATTCCAACCATCAATCCCAAGCACTACCATTAGACCACGTCCTCAAGTGCCACATCCACACATTCCGTGAACGCTTCCAGCAATGGTGACTCCACTGCCTCCCTGGGCATCCCGTTCAATCCTGACAACCCTTTCCATGACAAAAGGGACACACGAACCCTTCTGTTGAATGTTCCAAATACCAGCTTGGTTCTGCTTTATTTATTCAAGTGGACAGTCAGTTCACTTGCAGCCAGTCTGGTCAACACTTAACATAATTCGGTTTGTGGACCTTTACACACACACTCGGACACCTCTTGGAATACATGGAGGAAACTGAGGTAAAAAATTTGATTTGTACAACTTGTAGAGAAGACAAAACACTCACTGCCAACTTACAAAAGCAGGACTGTTATTCTCACTAGGCTTTCTTAACATTTCTGGGTACCACCTTCCAAATTTGCCAGCCTGTCCTGACTTAGACTTTATGTGGGCAACCCCTTTTGCTTTCCTTATGCATGGAATGTGAACAAAATCTATTATAAACAGCAGACTTGTTGAAAATGAAGCCTGCTGCAGACTTAAAGGTTTAACTTGAATATAGAAGACCCCAGCTTTTTAAAATTGCGTGAGATGCAGCATTTCAAATGTTCCTCCAACTTTTGAAGTGGAAATATAGTAATATGTGTGGAGATATAAAAATACATTAAATGCATCTGAAATAAAGGCTAAAAAACAAGACCGTGGAATGTATCCATGAATGCTATATAGAGGTAACAAAAGAGTAAAGAAAAATGACTACTAGAAGTTTAAAAAACTCAAACAAAACGAGTCATCTTACTTCAGATACTGCTGCAGCAGTAGATGGGCAATAATTCTCTCCAGTTCCTCTCGAGGGTGCTTTGGTGGAGTAATTTCAGCCACCCTGAACTTGGACACACCTTTCCCGGACCACGCATCGATTAGTTTCAGTGGGGTGAGTTTCTCACTCATGCTTTCAGCTTGCTCAAGTATCTTGATTAGATCCCTGCAGTATCCTGTTACATCCATCTTCTCACATGCTGCAGATAAAAGTGAAAGAATATTTAAATAGCAAGTTATTAATAGTTATTTCGATAGTATCCATATATACATGTATATACTTTTATATATTTATAGATAGATAAATACATATCTGCTGCATGATAGCAATGTTTGGAGTTTTTCTGTTGTACTTTTAAAACTGTAACTTAACAAATAAAGCTGCAACTTTCCCTCTGGATATTAGGATATAATTGTACTCACATCTATCTTCCTACTTCATTATTGAAACTCCAATCTGGCAGACATTTCTACTTGTATTTAATGTTACAAACCACATAGATTATTTTAAAGAAGCATTTACAAAGCATAGGATTTGCAAGGTGGCTACTATGTTACTCTACAGCTGGATCCCTTTTTCCTCACCCACAGTGTTTATTATGACAAGATCTGAGAGCACAGAGGGAGTGAAGAATATAAATGAGACATTTATTCTCTCAAGACACTTATGGACAAAATGAGACAAAAAAAAAAGTATTAATCACATTACAAAAATAAGCTTCATCAATAATTATTCTGAGCATCAACACATCCGTGTAGTACATAATGATCACCCTTCTTCTGCATGATCAGATTATGGCACAGAATTACCCCAACTGCCTCCTCCAATACTAAGAATTAAGTACTGAAAAACGAGTACGGCTGCAAGGTTTCCTCAGACCTTGCTTATGTATCAAAAGGCCCTGGGGGTGAACCAGCAGTAAACAGGATATATTTCAACTATATTTCATCACATGCCTCCTGTAAGCCTTGGGTACAAGCCAGTTCCATACTCTTTATCAACCTCTGATCCCAGTATATATTTCAAATAAACCCCATTTCTAACTGGAAAATAACAAGACATTGTCACTTGCATGATTTTGCAAAACAGTTTTATTATATAATTAACTGTATAAAGAAAAAAAAAAGTTAAATTTTTGTCTACTTTACATCCCAAAACATGTAGATGGAAATTAGGTCTAGTTTTGAGAACAGCTTCGAATACAGAGTTGTTCCTAAGTTTTTTCAAGTGTTGATCACTGTATTATCCAACTCCTTTTTGCAACAGGTATGTGATATATGCATCTCCTCGTGTTACAAACATACACCTGGTCCTTAAAGAATTATAAGGTGGTTTTGTGTGTCCAGTTAGAGACGCCAAGACCAACTTTCTCTCAGCACTACTTTCAGAGTTTCTAGCTTTTTTATAGGGTTTCCTACGTCTAAACCACAGTGCTTACTTTCTAAGTGCAGCAACAGATGTTTTGTGCACCTTTTGAGTCTTTCAGCTTTCTGGCGAGTATCAAAAATGACAATTAAAGCAAGAACGAGCTCCCCAACACACCCAGGATGTTTGTGGGCAAAACAGTAAAAAGAGCTGATGTCCCAGGACCACGTTCTGCTGAAATCATCCTCTTATCATGCAGCTGGTCTTGTTTCAGCTTATCTCCCAACTCCCTCTCTGCCTTCCCTCTTATGCTCCCAGCTTTTTTCCAAAGGAAGAGCACACTCTGGACAGACATTGTGCTGTTAGGGCTAACCCACAGCAAAGCCCTAAATCAGTGTGCTCAGTGTTCTGCACACCTGTCACGCACAGCCCTGACACACGTACATCTCATGAGTATGTGGCACTGAAATCCTCAGGGATTTTACCAGGGAAGTTGTGAGAGGATGTGCAAACTGTACCTTCTCACAGCCCAGATATGAACAGTTTGGCGTGCAGAAAGCAAAGGGTTCCTCCTCAAATAAACCTTTTACATCCAAACCCTAAAACAAAAACCCTAAACCAAAACCTGACTCCTTCCAGAACCTTCTGTAAACAGGTAAGCCAATCTCCCCTTCGCCCCAGCTTCCCTTCTGGAAACAGGTGAACAGCTGAGACTAATGGATACCAAAGTGTTTGGCAGAAAACCAAACCAGGAAGTATCCTACTAAACACCCTGAATCTGGCAACACCAAAAGCTGAAATGCATAAACAAAATTTGCACCGCGAAAACAGGCGGTATCACACGCACAGTTCACAAAATTTGCTTATAGTCTTCCTAAACTAGATATATTTCTTTAAGCCACCTTTTCCCATATTCTCTGTCCTTTACTCACCGTTCTCTCTGCAGCAGTTATCACACATTCTGTTGCAGTTTGCAGAATCCCACACCTCATCAAAGTGATGGGCTATGAGCACCCGGCGACACCTGAGAGAGCAGAGAGGGACTATGAGACCCAAGGGTTATAAAACCATGAAAATGGCAACAAGAGGGGCCCCTGGAACAGCTCATCTCTCAAGAACGGCATGAAGGATTGTCTCAGGGAAAATCAGAAAAAAAATACTGCAACACAGTACTCCCTGCCAGTTATGCCAACAGGAATAATGAGTTAACACTGATGTAGCAACACTTTGGTTAAAGCAGAAAGGTATAACCTGCAATTTCAATAGAATGAAAAATCCTAAGAATATGAACTCATTCTCAGACTGAGGCTAGCAAACTCCACAACTTGGATATAAGTGTTTTCCATGAAGTATTCCCAATAGCTCAGTGCAGTAGATGAAGCATTAAACACATGTGGATTCCTATATGGCCACTAAACACTGCCACATTAAAATAAAAACCAAAGCATTCCATATTTTTCCTCTGGGTGGGATTTGAAATCCAAACAGTGTTGGTTGACAGGTATTTCACTGCTTCCAAAATTTAATCCTGAAGCTGTCAAGTTTTTTCTTGTGGCTGGTTTTGTTTGGTGATGGGTTGGCTTTGGTTTTGTTTTGGGTTGGATTGGGGATTTTTTTTTTTTTCAAATGCTCTCTAAAAAATCCCCCCAAAAATAGCCTATTTAAAGACTAAGCAACCAAGCCACCACAGTAACTTACTTGTTCATATTTTGGCAGTAAGATACCATATCATAGAGCTTCTCTTGCCCCACATTTTCCATCACTACCATTGAGCTGATCCTGAATATATCTCCAAAGCCATAATACAAAATGCAGTCGGCTTTTTGGTCATCTCTACCTGCAATGCATTAAAATGAACAGAAAATTAAAATCTCAACCAAAGGCCCTTCAAGGTCCCTGAAAAGCTTTTTTCCATGTAGATTCAACTCTGCTTTTGAAAAAGTAATTATGCACAAGATCAAAAAACAGAACACTAACATTCCTTTAGCCATAACAGCTATTTATTTCTGCTATACACTGATCAATCCTTAAAATTTCCTGTTCCATACTCCCCATCCTACTTGTATTCTTGTGGCCACTGAAATTCATGCAACCATCTAGAGACAATTGGAGCAAATCACACATCCCAGTTGCTGTACCTAGGAAAATAACTAAAAAATCATACATCCATTTTGGTAAAAATCAAGTAATGAAAAAAGCTGAGTGAAGGGCTGAGTACCCAGTTACTCCTTGTTATACCGCAGTAGAGGCCTGAGATCATGAATGCAGTTTTTATTTGCTTTAAAGCCTCTTTACAGGGGCGAGATTGTCATTATACACTTTGAAACCTGTCTTGGAGACAAGAGACTTTGCTCAAATGGCTGAAAAACTGAAGTGCAATTTTACTGGTTTCAGGGATGTAAATGGCGGCCTCGCAAAGGCCATTTCCTACCTGCACGTCCACTCTCTTGGTAATAGTTCTCCATGGATTTGCTCATAGAATGATGAATTACAAACCTCACATCAGGTTTATCAATTCCCATGCCAAAAGCAACAGTTGCCACTACAACCTGAAAAAAAAAAAGAGATTAAGAAACCATCACAGTACCAAAACACAATTTGAATGAGATGTTAAGTCCATGAAAAGTATCTACTTAACCTGGATTTGATTTGCTGCCCATCCTTTATGAACTTTGGTTTTATATTTAGCATCCATGTTTGCATGGTAAGTCCCTGCCTTGATTCCCAGTTTCTGCAGACTCACAGTAACTTGCTCAGAATCCTTCTGAGAAAAACAGTAAACAATTCCTGCACAAAAGTGAAAGATGCCTCATTGTGATGCCTTGAAAAAGCCAAACAATCCCCAGTACCTAAAAACAATTGTGGAAGTTTTATTAACTTAAAAATAATACATAAAAACTATTATATAGTCTTTGTGCCTATTCAGTCTGCAGTATTTGTATCTGTGAAGGAAACTTCAATTATCAGCTTGGACTTGTAGGCTAAATAAGAAATATGGCTGTCAATCCACATAATCCTGGAAGTGTTCTATTAATGTTCATGGAGGACAATGCTTACGTAAAGGGGTGCTGTTCCTTATGACATCTGTGGCATCTCACCTGAGGTTTCAGATAAATCTGCTTTTTGTCATTAGTCAGTCTGGGCTTAGGCAGGGATTACACACAAGGCCATGTGATTTGTGATCATCTTGGCACAGCTCCTTGGAAGCTGCTCATCACATCCACGGAGCTCACAGCAGAGAGAGGGACAGGCTGTTGCTCTGGAAAACGAGGTTCTGTTGCCTTTGCAAGATGTCTCCCCTCTCAATTTGCACTACATAATTCATTGATTACAAGAAGTCCAACTTACACAGTTCTGCTTTTAACACAAATCAACCTATAACACCCATTGTGGGCACTGAATAATAGATGAATCTTATAATAAAATATAAAAAAGAAGCATCAAAGATACTAAGTCTCCTGACATATATTGAATGACACATGTACGATTGCTTTTACAATCTTAAAAATTCCTATTATTTCTACCTGTGTGAACATTGTTCTATATACATCAACGTTCTATTTCAATACTTCAGAAGATACAAGTAGGCAGTAAAGAGATTTAAACACTAATGAATGAGGAGAGAAATTGTTCAAGGTATGGATCTTATTAAATTTCATTTATTCTAATGCTGGATCTTTGATGTAATGTGAAGGTAGAATTTATTTCTCTACACATTTCAGGATCAGTTGAAAACATCCCAACATCCTTGTAGCATTCAAGATTATGAACAATAATAAGTGCACTTTTTTTTACATTTTTTACCTGACAGTCCTTTGTATCTTCCATTAATGGTCCTAACTATGTCCTCAATGAAATCTTCATTATTTGAAGGCTTATGTCGAACCTCAAAGGTATAATACACACATGTCAGAGTTCAAGTGGGCACACAGTGTGTCAAACAATCCTGTTACTCTATTCCTTACAGTATGACAAACAAAACTATTCTGCTATTTAACAAAAATGCTTTTTGTGTACAGTCAGACTACAACTCAAAAGTCTACAGAAAAACAAACCCGCAAGTTTTCCTCATCGAGAAAAATAAAAGGACCTGTGGCCAAACTGAAAATACAGCAAGCATGACACAATAATTGCTGTCATCACAGGACATATTTTCCAGCAGGTTGCAGCAATCTGAGCCTGCTGCCTGCCTCTCTCCTGTACACAGTGGTGTCTGCTAAGCCTTGCTTGCACGGACAGTCCCTCTGCAGAGGACAGCAGGTTCAGCAATGTGAAGTAATCAAGTAACACCATCATTCATTGAAAATCTATTGATTATTAAAATCTAGTCTAAGAAAATCTATTCTAAAGCTCATCAACTGTTACCTTACAGAAGGCAACATGACAGCAATGCAGCTGAACAAACAGGTATCGAGACCTACCTCATAGTACAGGTTGGGCCGGTTGAAAGAGGCAGTAAAGGTAATGCACTTCTCAACATGCAAAATTTTCTGAGCATCCTTTAAAACATGATTTGTAGCTGTTGCTGTCAGTCCAATCAAGGGAGTGTTGGGAAACTGTCTTTTCAAGATACCAAGAGACTTGTAGTCTAAGCAGGAAAAAAAAAAAAAAAGTGGAAATAAAGAGATTTCTCTCCACAAATACAAACTTTTAAAAATATATTTATGTAGATAGTATTCATTGGGATAACACTGCAGTTACCAAAATAGATACCAAAAATTCAGTTTTACAGAATCATAGAATCAGAGAATGGTTTGGGTTGGAAGGGACCTGAAAAACTACCTAATTTCAACTCCTCTGCTGTGGGCAGGAAGACTTTCCACTAGACCAGGTTCCTCAAAGCCCCATCCATCCTGGATTTAAACACTTCCAGGGATGGGGCAGCCACAGCTTCTCTGGGCAACCTGTGCAAGTGCCTCACCACCCTCACAGCAAAGAATTTCTTCCTAATATCTAATCTAAACCTACTCTCTGTCAGTTTGAAGCCATTCCTCCTTGTCCTGTCACTACATGCTCTTGTAAATAGTCTCTCTCCATCTTTCTTGTAGGCCCCCTTCGGGTCCTGGCAGGCTGCAATTATCAGACAATTCAGAAGGCAAAATATCTGGAAATAGAAGTTCCTAAAGTTAGGAAAATGTAGGTGGCATCACATTAACCTGTATTCAGGTTATTTTGCCAATCTGTTTTTACAAACAGCCTTTGAGTAAACACAGTTTTGCAAATAAATAAGCAAGGTGGAATTTGGATACACAGACCAGACTGTAATAAGGAAAGATTTTAAAGGCTCAATATCGACAATGACTTGCTGCCTTAGAGGTGCATATCCAAATGCCACATTGCCTGTTTAACTATCATGGCTCTTGGATCCGACAACACCTTTTAGCAAAACTGCCAAGGTTGACTTTACAGTTCATATTGCTTCAAATCAGGTTTTCTTTCAAAGGCAAAGAAACAGTAACCAGTAAGTAACAATATTCTACAACTGCCAAGACAGGAAAAAAAACTGAAGCACACTTTCTTCCCCTGCAAGTTAAGGGCATTTGTTTCCTTGCTTTAGAGGTGGTTAAAATATATCTCATGAATTTACAAAGTGCTCTACTTCTGTCGCCCAAAGTGCCAGGGAGCAGTGTACAGAATGACACTTTTTCATGTAGCAGTAGATTAAAGATAACTGTATATTAGAGACAGCAGCCAAAAATGTTGATTTTATGATGCTCCAATTGAAGTGAACTGAATAAGGAGTTTTTCAGAACACTGACACAAAAATCTAAGTTGAAATGATCCCTATTTGCATGCCCTTAGCTCCTGGGCAACAATACAGTCGTTTGTGAATTAAATTCCTCGAGCTAACAGAGGTCCTAAGTGATACACCAAGAATTTACTTAACACATGAAGAAAGCAGCTTTATTTCAGGCCCAGCTCATTATTTGCTGATGCCTGAATAACCCCGCAGACTGGGTTTCTGAGGAGCATACCAGGCCTGAAGTCATGGCCCCACTGGCTACAGCAGTGGACCTCATCCACAGCAACACGAGCCAGGCACCCGGCCTGGTAAGCCTTCTCCAGCTTGGACATGAACATCTTGCTCTTTGCAATCTTCTCTGGGGTCACATAAATGAGCTTCAGTTGTGAATTCCTGTTTAGCATTTCGCTATGGACCCACTTGACATGTTCCTGTTCAAAACAAAAGGAGACATCAGCGGGTAACAAACTGGGACAACACGCTCAAGTTGCTTAGTGCTAAGGCTCTTATAAGGTGATTAGCAATTCATAAGGGGTAATTAACAGAGACTGACAAACTGTTACACGGTATTTACCACCACTATAAATCTTTGGAGAAGATCGTTATATATATCAAATGTTCATTTTAATACCTGGAAAATCTATGATGGAACTTCGAAAAGGCTAAGTATTGAATATTGGCCTTTGCTTCATCATGTGGTGTCAGTATTTTACCAGTAAACTGTAACAGTTGGCAGTTGGGATAATTCTGTGCCATAACCTGATCATACAGTAGAAGCATGACCATTACAGAATCATAGAGTGGCCTGGGTTGGAAGGGACCTGAAAGATCACCTGGTTCCAGCCCCCCTGCCATGATAATGTTCCAAATATGCCTGAGGTACTACAAGTGTAAAATAATTTCTTGCACACAACTTTGGTCTTTATTGCTGAATTTTCAAAGTGCTCTGCCTCAAAGCAGGCTTCAAGTTTGCACACTGCATCAAGCAACAGATTTATCAAATGCAGTGTCATGTGCAAAGTTAATGATCACAGCCCCCTGCTAGTCAGGAAAATATATTTCACTTTAAAAAGCAATTGACTAATAACAGACTGGGAAGTAAGTTGCTTTTTGGCCTCTGGATCAAACAGCTTGACATCCTAAAGAGAGATAAATAGTTATGTCAAAGCCTGCAGCACTCATCATGTTACTAGTTGACAAAAACCACCTACTCTAAGTCTAGAAACCGAGTAAAAATTTACAAACACACACCAGCTGGATACTTCAAATCCTCTAAACAGTCCCAAGAAATCTGTTTATTCCATGGAAGCTGTTGGTTTACATGTTTGTTGTTGTCATTAAAACAAGAACATAAGATACTCACCCATGTTACCCATATCACAGCACCTTGCTGGCAAGATACTGCTGGCAGAACAGCATTAGCTGATAAATCTGCGTCATCCACTCAATATTCATAAGTAACACAGAGGTGAGACACCAGCACATACAGCACAAAAACTGTGAAGACTTGGCAGTTAAACATACCTTGCTGCTTGAGGCATTTAATAAAGCTGCAGAAATCCCAAGCTGTTCCAAAACCATGAGCTGATCTTCCATAAGAGATATCAAAGGACATATCACGAGTGTGAAACCTGTAACAATCAATCATTGTGCCAGCTGAACACTTCGTGTGTCACAAGTATCTCCTCTAATACTTTTTATCAATGCATCAGCCCTGCTCTCAAGAAACTGCCAAATGTAAGCTTAAGCTTCACACACAGCAGCAGATTCCCTTCCAAAATAGCTGGCGAGTGCCAGATCACACAGGGATAATTCTTATTAAATGTCCATCACATGCACCTCCTCTTAGGATCTAGACCACAAGAAACTGAACTGCAACAGAGTCTAAAAATTAATATACAAAGCAAAGCAAGTTGGATATCTAAATCATGAGATGCTAATTTACCTCAGAACTAACCAGTGGTAGGTAACAGTAAATTTGGTCTTTGTAAATAAATAAAGTTCCATGCAATTGGATGGGTTATGTAAAAAAAACCCCAACCAAAACAAAATCACCAAAAAAAGCTTAAAAAACTACAACTGCATACTTATTTTTAAAAATAAATATCCCAAATAATACTTCAGAGTGGAAGAGACAAATAACAGATATCCATACTTTAATAATTTACAGTCTGTGTATTGAATTAAAAAGGAAAGAAAGAAAAAAGAGTGACAAATTTTTTAAAAGTCCTTTCAATGTTTACTAATATAATGTATTGAGTAGAATCTCGATAAAATATGTGCCTTGGAGATATGATTTAGATTTAAATAATTTAAAGCTGCTATTGCTCCTTCAGAGAAAATAGAGTAAAGTAAATATTTCTATCAAGTCTATCTCATATAGTTGCTCTTTTTTCCCCCACATACTATGATATCAGACACCAACATAATGGTCATTCTCCAAATAACTATAAAAGAGAGAAAATACATGCAGTTCTTTATGTATGCCCTTTTTTTCCCCTTACATACCATCAGAACAGACAGCTGGTAACTGGTAGCAAAGGCTCTTGCCACCACCTGTAGGCATGACAAGAAATATGTCCTTTCCTGCCATTGCAGCATTTACTGTTTCAAGTTGCAGTGACCTAAACTTCTGGAGTTTAAATTTGCCCTGCAGTGCAGTTTTTATCTTCTCATACCATGGAAAATCTGTTAAAGAGAAAAAAAAAAAAAAAAACAAACAAAAACCAAACCAACAATAAACATGTTTCATAAGCAAGTTAAAATATAAGAAGGAAGGGTAATGTTAAGTCATTAGCCCAAAATTAACTGGAAATGAGAAGCCCACCCTGGAAGTAAATCAAACCAGACTCTGAGCCCTTAACAGTTGTCCAAATGCTTCCCTCATACAAATGCAGCTATTACAAATAGTATAATGAAGCAAGGATACCTTTTTTTTGCCCTTTTTTCCATCAATAATAAGCATTTATTAAAAAGAAGGTGGGGAAAATTTAATCTTCCCCAAAATAATCATCTTAACATGCTTTTAATAGTATTTTTTCTTCAATAAAGAGCTAAAGACTGTATTATTTTAAGAAATAATATTGTAAAAACTTAAATTTCAGAGGCAACAGGAAGCTTAATAACTATTTTCATACCATTAAAATTAAAATGCAGAAAAAGTATCAGTATTCTTACATATGCATAGCAGTTATCTCAAATATAAATACTGATTAAACTACAAAACAATTTCATTTTTAAAAAAAGGCAAAAAAAGCAGATATATACAATAGATACAGACATTTCCAAATTGCAGTTGAAGTAAAAAAGGAAGGGAAAAAATAATTAAAATATCTGAGTCAAATTTGGCAAGGCATAACGTGGTCAAGACCCCTCAACTATCCAAGACTTCAGCTAATGTTGAACTCCAAAGGCAGCATTTCCAAAAGGACAGCAGCCCTCACACCACCACAGGGCACTTGCCTCTTGCACTAATTCCACCATACTAATGTATTCTACATCAATTTGGCAGTCAGCATCCACCTAATTTGCATAAATTTAGAAAGACAGTGAAGCTGAATAACCCATGTCAAACATCACCAGTGTCCCACCCACTCAAGCAGGAAAGAACTCGGAGTGCAAAACTGTTATTCTCAAATCTTGAGACAATTCAGAGCAATTATTTTTAGAGCACAAAGTGGGAATATAAGTATTGCAACACCATGGAATCACAGAATATTCTGAGTTGGAAGGGACCCATAAGAATCGAGTCCAACTCTTAGACCTGCAATATAATTTAAGTACACAAGCACTGCAATAAAAATTTACTTTGGGATTCCCAGAGCAAATCAAATCAAGTTGTCACTTTGCAACATGAAAGGAATAGAAGTATTGTGACAAGCCATTCTTGTAATAATTATGCCCAGAACTCAGATTAGTATTTAGGAATGTCCAAGGAGTTAAGTACAAACATTACCCTATGTAGGATGGGAGGTCACCCAGCTGGTCAAAATTAAATAAGACAGTATCAGTATCCAAACAAAACTCTCTATGAATGCACTTTCCCCTACTGAATTAGTTTATCTTTCTGTTATAATATTTGAATTTGACTCTGCAAACCTTTTTTGTTCCATGCCTCGGCTGAGGTTTCAGTGCCTTTACTTCCACCTGCCTCCAAGTCTCCCGAGGACTGTTTTATCAGATTCTTCACTCTCATCTTCTTTTGAATCAGTTCCTGCTGTTTATCCACAAGCTCCTGTATCTGCATCTCCACTGCTTGCAGCTCATTCTCAATGGAAACCAGCACCTCCTCTAGCACTGCAGGGAAAAGCAAGGTGAGGGCACAACAGAGATTTCAGTAACGTGCTAACCCCAGTTTTAAATTGCATTTAATTTGTTGGTTGAGAACAATCCCAAACTAAACATAAACAAAAAGCACCTGGAGAAACAGACAGCCTGACAGGGACACTGAGAAGATGGTAAAACCTAACACTGTACATGCCATGTAAAAATACTTGTCAAAGTAGGTCATATATACACAGGTGTACTGTAGCTTGTCATCTCTAATACAGTGATATGCAACACTATCATTGCCTAATGTGTTGACTAATAGAGAAAAAAAAAATACATCAAAATCCAGTTTCTCAAAAGCAGTGCCTCTCCAGAGAAACACCTGGAATTATTCTCTTTCCTGCAGCTGCACGTCAAGCAGTGGAAAGCACACTGCAGCCTGATATTAAAGCTGCAAAAGTTCCAATGAAGACGAGGATGAGGCCAATTCCAAGGTGAGCACAACATGAGAACACCGTTAATAGAAAGCATTTACATAGGAAAAGCAGCATTAACCTCAGCAAGTTAAAATCTTCCGGGGACGGAAATAGGGACATTTAAAAAAGGTACATTTCACACACCAAGATCTCCCTCCCATGCAGAACAAAAGGATTTGCTGAACAACAAGGTTTGCATATGGAGAAAAAAAGGCATTTTTTGAAGACAAGCTACCCTTCACATCTGAAAAAAAGTGAGTAAATACTCCCTAAAATCTTCGGTTTCATAAGTGAATTGGCCTCTTTACCTCCTAATATGCGCCTGTGTGAATTACAGATTGCATTCTAGAATCCAGTCCTCAGGGTTTGAAAGAATAGTTAACACATACCCCTGCGGGCCAAGCGTGTATCACTGTTTCAGAGCCAGGTCAGAAAACCATTAGAAGAAATTATTTCCTCCCCCAACAACCCCCAAAATAAGAGATTTTGATTCAACCAGAGCAGGTATGATAATGTGCTTCTGGAAGCAAAAAATGTATGATATGAAAAAAGATATCCTCATTTCAAATGGCACAAAATGAGGACATTTGTCTTCCTAAATACCCACTGTTAACTCAGCAGGACTTAAAAGTATCTTAAAATATGAAGCATATCTCCAGAATACGGAAAACAAGTAACTTCCTTGACAAGCTTGATTTTCATCATAGATTGGTTGGGGTTAGAAAGTACCTTACAGACCATCTCATTCCAACCCCCTGCCATGGGCAGGGGCACTTCCCACTAGACCAGGTTGTTCAGAGCTCCATCCAACCTGGCCTTGAACACTTCCAGGGATGGGGCATTTTGTTTCAGTTTTTATCTAAGAAACAAAGCTATCCAGTAAAAGAAATCTTCCCTTCAAATCTGTAGTAGGATAGACCCCACAAACTCTTTTCTGCATACATTAAATTCAAACTAATAACAAGCAGTAACATCAGGAGACGGTGTCTGTTGGCTAAAAGAAAGCAAAATTAACATATTGAGTACTAAGTGTGGATTACCTGCAACAGCTGTCATCTTTGGAGATTAAAGAATGCTATCCCTGGGAGACCTTATTTAGCCAAGCAGCTGCCACTAAGAAGAAAATAAAATCAATAAATTTAAAACTGTATTTTGTGAGTAAACCTTCTAACATCGGTGTTAATATAACAGTTTAAGTACTGGTTCGTTTAACCTGCTTATGTAAATAGGCCCTATTAGATGACAACTGCTTTTTTCCTTCTGCAAAAGCGACAAACTCACAGCCAATTCCCAAGGGAACAGCCTGACAGCCTTCTAAATAAAATCCAAGTGATAAATACCCAAGTCATACATTTTCTGAGAGTCAGACACAGGCCAGTTACTCATATACCTTTGACCCCTCTTTTTATTTGTCTCTTCAAATACCATTTCACAGAAAAGCCTGAACAAACTATATTGATCCCCTTAAAGAAGCAGCCACCATTAACACCTAGGGAACCTCCTCGGAGGATGGAGAAAGGTAGTTTGGTTCAGAGAAGGAGGATTAGTTTTTATTAGATCATCAGTGAAATTCTATTTATTAACTCATTTTTTGAACAACATTCTTTGTCATATTATATGCTAACAATATCAGACTTAAAAAATCTGATGTTCTCTCTGTTATTGAATTCTGAACTGTTATACAAATGGAAGCCAAGGGAAGGTGAAAGGGAACAAATTCAGCAGATCCTCACTATCAGCTGATCCTACCATAACAAATATTTTACTGAATTCCTATAAATGGGGAGAAAATATAGATTAAAAATAACGTGTGAATAAAACACTGACTTTGCCAGAAATGGTTATGAGCAAAAATAAGTTAAAAGCTCACTCTTCAGAATGAAGTTGACTATTGTATAACTCAGCAGTGTCCAGATCACACACAGAATCTGAGCAACATAGTTCTGTCTTTATACCACGTGTCACTTGCACAAACATGGAAATTTTAGTGTCCCCAAAGTACAGAGCAAGCAGGGACATCCAGAAAAATCAGTAGGAGTGGCACAGACACACTGTAAATGCATGACACTGCTGCTATTGCCCCCAGTAAACATGAACCTCACAAATATCACTGGGCTGAGAGCCCGGGAAACATGAGCCATTTTGTTATCCAAGCAGTGGGAAAGGAATGAAAATTACATATGGAAGTTCTCCTCTGAGCTGCTAAAGCTCCACAAGTCTTTAATTTAGCTCCTGTCTCTAAAAGCACTAAGTCAGCATATCTTAGAATTAATTCTCTACCACCACTGCCAACAAAGACCCCCAAGTGCCAACTGACTCACCTGAAAACTTAATATGAGCTCATAAAACTTAAGTTGAACTCAGAGCTTATAAACCACAGCACAGGAAAGGCAAGTGGGAGTATCTTGCCCATCAGGCAGTTTTACCCCACTGTCAAAACCGCTCAGTTCCCGTGAATTCACCCCATTTCTAAAGAGCCCACGAGCAGGGAAGAGGCCTCTGAGCAGACACATGAGAGCCTGAGGCAGACAGGTGAGTCACCAGCATCACCTCCCACCCTGCACTGATGAAAAACAGCGTCCCAGCACTGGGAACCTTGTCACCTCTCCTTCATCCAGCCTCCACACCAAACCTCTCCCACCCCAACCCCGAGAAGGGATGATACCAGAGGGTTATCACACCCAGAACCCTTGAATTGCACAAGCGGGATGTGTCACCTTGGCCGCGGTTCAGCCGGGTACAAAAATCCCCATAGGGAAATCTGGGATGTCACCTTAAAAGAAAAACAACGAGAAACTGTTACGAGGAGGGCACAAAAGAGCCAAAGCGACGGCAGGGAGGTGTGGATACACGGGGATTGATGGAATACTGATGGAATACACAGGGATATTGATGGAATCACGAAGGTCGGAAGAGACCTTTAAGACCATCCAGTCCGACCGTCCACCACTGTAACCCTTAAACCGCATCACCCGGCCCCATATCCAGGGATGGCGACTCCACCATCGCCCTGGGCAACCCATTCCAGTGCCTGAACATCCACATGGGCCGTCTCAGCATTTCCCATCCCGAACATCAGCCGCGGGCACGGGAACGGCACGGCCGGGCAGGGGAGCACTGGCTCGGCGGGGAGGAAGAGAGGGAGGCAGGGAAGGAAGGAAGGAAGGCAGGCAGAGAAGGGAGGAAGGAAGACCGGGAAGGAAGGCAGGAAGGCAGAGAAGGAAGGAGGGAGGGAGACTGCCGGGGAAGGCAGGGAAGCACCTGCTCGGCAGGTGCGAGGCAGGGGGAGCGGGATGGATGGAGGGAGCGATGAACGCAAGGAGAAAGAGAGGATACCGGAGACAAGCAGAGAAGCACTTGCTCATGAGGTGCAGGGCGGAGCGGGACGGATGCAGGGAGGGAGAGAGGGAAGGATGGAGGGAGAGAGGGAAGGACGGAGGAAGGGACAAGGGCTGACAGGGCCGGGCAGACGGAGCAGGACCCGCCGCACCTCACTGCCGCTTCCTCCGGCACGGCGGGCTCAGCCCCAGCACGAGCCGACGCCGCTCAGCCCACGGGTCAGTGCCAGGACACATTCCCTTATTCCATTCCCTTATTCCAGTCCCCTATCCCGGTCCCCCATCCCGGTCCCACCTGAGCCGCCCGGGGCCCCGCCCCTTCCGCCACCGCTGCCCCTCGGCCAATCACCGCGCCGCGCCGCGTCCGCGCGGCGCTGCAAGGCGGCCGCTGATTGGCGGCGGCCCTGCCCAATGGGCGGGCGCGTCTCATCCGGCGGGTGCGTGTTTCCGGAAGACGTGGCCGCTCCCGCCGATCCCGATCCCGATCCCGATCCCGCCGCTCCCGGCCCCGCTCCGCCCGCTCCCGCCGCCACCATGATCTCCCTGTCCGACACGCAGAGTAAGCTTTGTCGGCAGTGCCCTGCGGGGCTGCGGGCGGCGGGGCCGGGGGGTCACGGGGCGCGGCGGGCCCTTCGTGCGCGGCGGCGGCTCCAGGAGCGGATCCCGCGGGCACCGCAGGGAACAGCGCTGGGCTGGGAATGGGCCCGAGCCGGCGGGGCTTGCCCGGCCGCACCCCTGCGCTGCGGGAGCCGCGGCGGTGCCAGGAGCTGGCAGGGAAGGCGGCGGGGGGAATGGGACGTGGGGATGCAGGGAAGGGCCGCGCCCTCCCCCCGGCGGGGCTCTGTCACCAGCGCTGCGAGAATCGCCGGAGGATTTGGGTTGGAAGGGACCTTAAAGATCACCTCGTTCCACCCCCGTGCCGTGGCACGGACACCTCCCGCTAGAGCTGGTTGCTCGGAGCTCCATCCAGCCTGGCTTTAAACGCTTCCAAGGATGGGGCAGCCACAGCTTCTCAGGGCAACCTGTGCCAGGGCCTCATCGTCCTCACAATAAAGAATTCCATCCTCATATCCAGCCTAAATTTCCCCGTTTTCAGTTAGTACCCATTGCTCCTTGTCCAGTCCCTGTAAATGAATGAATGAAAGTGGAGAGGTAAATAAAAGTATCACTTAGCTGGAGTCTTCCCGTGTGCCTCTCTGTGGGTGTCAGTGGGATGGAAACAATTAGGTGCTAGTGGCCTCCCTGCGTTTCTGGTGCTGTTACAACATTAGGTGTTTGCAGGTGACACTGACGGGGCTGCGAGGTGAGGACCAGACACTCCGTGTGATGTGGGAAATAAAAACTACTTGTATATGACTACAGTTTTGTTTTCAGCGAATAGAAGTACTTGGAAATAGAGATGCTTAAAGGGAAAGTACAAAGAAATCCAAGTAAAGAGGTTCGTGAGTGTGCCCTTGCAATAGACGGGCCAAAGGGATCCGGGGGTGCATTGGGAAGAGCGTGGCCAGCAGGTCGAGGGAGGTGATCCTGCCCCTCTGCTGTGACCTGGTGAGGCTCATTGGAGTGCTGTGTGCAGCTCTGGGCTCCTCAATGCAAAAGGGAAAAGGAGCTGCTGGAGAGGGTCCAGCGGAGACCACGACGATGATGAGGGGTCTGGAGCATCTCTAATGAGGATGGACTGCGGGAGCTGGGCGTGTTTAGTCTGGAGAAGACTGACAGGGGATCTCATCAATGCACATAAATATCTCCAAGAGGATGGTGCCAGGCCCTTTTCATTGGTGCCCAGGGACAGGACAAGGAGCAGTGGCCATAAACTAAGCCACAAGAAGTTCCACCTCAATGTGAGGAAGAGCAGCTTTCCACTGAGGGTGGCAAAGCCTGGCACAGGCTGCCCAGTGAGGGCATGGAGTCTCCCTCTGTGGGGCCATTCCAAACCCACCTGCTGCAGGTGACCCTGCCTTGGCAAGGCAGTTGATCTCCAGAGGTCCCTTCCACCACTGATAATTGTGTGATGAGAGAGTTTAAGCTGCAAGGTAAAGGAGACTGTTAGGTCTTGGATTTAAATGAACATCTCATGCGCGATGCATTCCTGGCACGATTGCCACAAAAGGGAAGGAGTTTGCTTGATAAGCACCACAGCATCAGTTACGAAGGAGGGTGTGAAGAATGTAGGGAAAAAAAAGCTAAAATAGCTAAGTTTGATAGCAGAATCCTGGAATGGAGGTATTGGTGAGCCAGTCAAGGCCAAGGATGAAGACAGGCAGCAAAGCTTAGCAGCATTCAGGGTCAATGATTTCTTGAGACATTCAAGTGCAGTGCTGTGTTACTGGGATGGGTACTAACCCTTTGGGTAATTTTTAGATTTCTGGTTGAGTAAGTTCATGTGGCTTTGCTTTTGTTCATTCCTTAACCTGTCTGGAATATCCATTGGGAAAAAAAAAAAAAAAAAGAAAAATTTATTCAGGAAGAGATTCACTGTTTCTTAGTTCCTCATTTGGGACTTTCATCTAATTCCAGTGCTGACACTCTTTGCTTTAACTGTCAGAGCCAAGAGTAGTAAATAAAACACTGTGAAGTTTAGGGGGTTTTAGGTTTTTTTTTCACATTTTTTATGAAATTCTGATGATTTTTCATCTCATATTTTTAAACTCGCTGCTGTCTGGAAAAATATGGAGTTATCCATAGAGTCACTGGTGGAGTAGTGTGTCAAATACCTGGAGAGAACCACTGCATTAGTTGATGCTTGGAAAATTAAATTTGCAGCTGTAGTCTAGGACATAATTTTTAAGTGATGTATTGAATGGTGTTATAAACCACCAGTAACTGCAAAAGAATGCACTTAGTTTTTCCCCAAACAATTTAAGTTTTCAGTACTAAGAAATGCTTCTAGCAAAATGATAATTAAACATTGAAACTTTTTGTAATCTGTAAACTCCAATAATTTTTTGTTTTCTGAGAGCCTGTAGTGCACATTTCCTCAAAAGGCAGAGAATGTGCACTACCTGCCCTGAACTTTCACAAGCAATGTAGCTTAATTTTAAGTCTTAATATTTACTAAGCTGTTTTGACACAGTGCTGCAGTTCTCTTGCACAGCTTATGGGATTTGTGCAGAAACACTGATGAAGTTTTACTCCCTCCTTCTATGAAATCATAATAATTAAAAATAAAAAAACTCCAGAGTAAATGCAACCTGGCTAGTGTGTGTGTCTGCAGTTATAGGCATTGAAATGTATTTGACTAATGTGGGAAAGCTCTTCTGGCACAGGAGAAAGCATTTAAAAATAGTTTGCTCCCTCTATAAATATTCATAATCCGTTGTTGAAAAGATTTTATACAAAATGCCAGCACTTTTTTTTTTTTTTAATTCCTCTGAGAACATTAGTCGGATATAATTCCACATTCTGATATGAATCAAGTAATACCTTCTGCTGAGATATTAGCAACAGAGAATAATAGTCCTGGACCATTCACCATCTTCCAACAGTTATTTTGGGACAATGACAACGGTGTTCCTTTTTTCCCTTTCCCTCCACTAACCAGAGAATATGGGTGGCTGCTGAAGTGAATCTGAATCCGTTGTAGCAGAAGTGATTGCAGAAGTGCCAGGGTGGTGATTGCAGCAGCTGTTGGGAGTTGGCCTCTGCCTCCCTGCCAGATCCATACCTTGTGCTGTGTCTGCGGGAGGAATGAATGCTCACTTCCCGTGGCTGCATATTTATCTTTCTGGCAGCTGCTAATTCCTTTGAGTCCTGCCTCCAAGTGTTTTCACTTCCAGAATACAGACTGTTTCTGCTCTTCTGAAGCAAAGAGTACTGGAGAAAAGGGCAGATTGCAATTGTTATATTGCCTGCAGTCAGCAGATCCGTTGAAAATACAATTTGCAATTCTGTTTCTCGTTGTAAACCAGTGCTCAGAATCTCAGCAGTAAGTTGATTGTAGCAGGTTACTTTGTGGTTTTAATTGTGGCTGGTTAAAATGCTCATAGTAACAGTGTAAAGTGACCTGAAATAATATAGAGCTACAGTTTTAACACCATGTGCCCTGCAGCCTTGTTGAAAACTGAGCCCTTGCAGGAGTCTGGGAAGTGGAATGTTGCTGTAACAAACCTCTTGGAGTTGTTTTGAAACGTTGGTGGGGTTTTTTGTGTGTTTCAGGAGAGACTGTGCAAAGCTGCTTGGAACTTCAAAATGCATATATGTACAGACACACCAGGCTGCCAGTGGTATTAGGGCTGGTGTAGAATTTGTGTGTTCTGAAGGTTTCTAAATTCTCTGGCCCCAGGGCTAGCAATGTAAGGGTGAGGGCATGGATAGATGCAAAGATTTTTGCAGCCGTGTTGCTGCTTTTCCCGGTTTTTCTCTCCCATTCGGTCTGTGTGAGAGTCAAAAGGAAGGATTTAGAGGTTTAAAATTAAAAGCAGGATGTATTTCTAAGTATGGTCTTCAGGATATATTAGAGGCTATTGTCAAGTGATCATTTTAATCATAGCTTCAGACTTCTAGTCCAGTTTTTCACACAAACCTTCCATTCTACTCTCTTGCCTTCCCAGTATTTCTCGAGCAACCTTTACAAAACTCAAAGATTGGAGAATTGTTTAGGTTAGAAAAAACCTTTAGGAACGTCGAGTCCAACTGTTAACCCAGCACTGCCCAGACCATCACAATATAAGCCAAGACATTAACTGCAAAAGGTAGTTAAAAAAGTCTACATGTTAAGATCAGATGAAACTATTATGCAACACTAGTAGTCTAGAGATAATGTATCTTATCAAAATCTAACATTTAATCATGGAAAATGAAATAAGAAACATGAAAATGATAATTGAACATTAGTCCCTCAATATTTAGTTAATCTACTAGTTTTGTGAAAACTGGCAACTGTCTGGAGACCCAGGCTAGTGTTTGATAGCTGTCAGCCAAGTGTAACTTTGAAAAATCCTGCAGGATTCATCTGAGTTGTGTTCCATCCAGAAACTGAGGGGAGTGGAACTGCTATGCAGGGTTATGGGAGGTGGAATGTGAGGTCTCAGGAGGATGGAAAGGACCAGGGTACTTATGTTACTGTGTAAAGATAATGAGATAAGAACTGGAAACAGAAAAGTTTCATCATCTCTTTACAAAACAATCCTTTTCTCCACACTAGAAACAAATCAAAAGGGATGTCTTTGCCGTATGAATGTATGCATGATTGCTGGTTGCATTCCATTTCAGCATATAGTTCCAAATATGGACTGTTTTGATGAGTAACTTCCAAAGATCTGTCTGGTTTTGAATTAAGTGATGTCTACAAGAGTTACTATATTTGTACCCTCAGGGAAGTTTTTAAATTTAAAATATCTTTACATTGGACATTCTAAGTTTGTTCACAATTTTTATGCGTGATTTTTTCCTAGTACCATGTTTTGTTACATGCCTGAATTTGTTTCTTTTTCAGAGATTGGAATGGGACTAACAGGCTTTGGAGTGTTTTTCCTTTTCTTTGGAATGATACTCTTCTTTGACAAAGCTCTTTTGGCTATTGGAAATGTAAGTGCCTTCTCTACAGTCCTTAGAATTAAGTATGTGATATATTAAAGATAAACTAAAAATAGAACAGTCTGTTATCAGTTTGAGGCTGGATCACAAGAACTGCTGTGGTGAATTTGGTGAAAAGGAAGAGTTATGCTGGGTGATGTGAGTGAATCATTTTTCCTGACTGAAGTTAGAACAGCTCACACTGATCTAAATATCATACCTTGGGTCAGGCCTGAGGGATGTTGATCAGACAAGAAGCAGCTTGTTCCACAGTTGTTGTGCTGCTGCTAATGTGGTTTTTAGATTGGCTGTCATTACTGAGGCCCTTTTTTGTGATCTTGTAAGATAACTGTCAATTTTAAGTATATATTTGGATAAGAATAGTGATGTGTTCTCTATGTGCTGGCAAATGTAGCTTTGCTGTGTTTCATGAGGAAAGAAAGAAGTATGAATTGCTGGTAGTCTGGGTTTAGAAAAGCCTTCATAATAGAGAGATTTAATATCTTCAGCTTTTACCAAATCAAAGTTGTTGCATAAAGCAGCACAGAAAATAAATCCTAGGTCTGGTACACAAAATTCCCAATCCAAAGCAAATATAAAATGAGAGGGTGTTTTCTGCATGTGATAATTAATCTCTGTGCCTCTGCTGTTCTCAGCTTCACCAACCTGCCCAAGAACAGCCTGGAAGACATTCACCCCCTCCTTTGCTGATGCCTAAAAGTTTGCAGGCAAAACTGATCAGGTTATTTCTGAGTCAAATACTGAGATTCACTGAAGGGAAATAGGAAATTGTGTATCTGACTTTGGGTGCATTAGCTGAAGCATTGCTATGAACCATCAGTCAAGTGTGTAGTGGAAGAGTGAAAAATAAAATAATGCTTATTTTTTTCTTTTCCTAATGTAAGGTGGAAATACAAGATCCTGTTTAGGGAAAATGATGAAAACATAGGTAGGAAGAGACAAAGACAGGCTATGTGGTAACCAAAGATAATGCAAGAAAAGGTACTGTATCCTTGCAGAAAGGTTCTTTTGAGTTTCTTTTAAAGAAGTTAGAAAGGGCAAGAGGTGATAAGAAAGTGATTTATTAAATAATATAAACTTAAACTTCATCAATAATCCTGAGTAAAACCTGAGATACTATCACTAGCACAAAAACGTTGCCCAGATTTGTGCTTAAAAGCTGAGATAATTTCAAGCCCTGTTCCTGCAGGACACTAAAAATAGTTCTAACTAGTTGGGACGAGCGTGATAGTGTTCAGTCTATACTGGAACAAATAAACAGTAGAAAGACTCTACCCAGTAAAAAAAAACGCCGAAACAACTGATAATGCTGTTCAGCTGTTTTCTTTTTTTGCCTTTGCACTATGTGTGGATCAGTCCAAGCTGTTGAAGAGGTCAGTGGTACTGAACAGAGGTGCTATTATGTTCTTAGTTTTTAGGAACCTTTCCTGTCAGTGATACTGAGCTGCAGCACCACTTGTGGTAATGATTGTGCTTATGTGACAGGACAGATGTAACTGTTGTCAGTAGGTCTTTTGTCCTGCGTGTATTTGTCAGAGACCACAGAGGTAGACTCTTCACTTTTTAAGCAGCTGAGAGCTACAAATGCTGTAAGATGGGTTTTACAAAAGAAAATCAATAGTAAACTCATTCTCACTGTCTGTCTTCTGGTATTAAAAGAAGTGGCGCAAGAGATGTAGTTTAATTTTGTAAAATAAATATATATATTTACGTCCTAAACTTGGGAACATAATTAGCTGTTTTCCTTCTCTGGTCTTTTCTAGGTTTTATTTGTGGCCGGCTTGTCTTTTGTTATCGGTTTAGAAAGAACGTTTAGATTCTTCTTTCAAAAACACAAAATGAAAGCAACAGGCTTCTTCCTGGGTGGTGTGCTCATAGTTCTCATTGGTTGGCCTTTAATAGGAATGATCCTTGAAATTTATGGGTTCTTCCTATTATTCAGGTAAGTCCTGTTTCAAAATAACTTTCTGTGTTGGTGTGTCTAGGAACAATTGTATTCATGTAGTGCTTCTGTGTTACAGTTGACAAAGCAGCATCCTTTAAATGTTTGTTTTGACAGATTTTAAATAAATCTGTTAATTTACATTTGCTAGAGATGGAAAGTTGATAAATATTTTTCCAAGACTCAAATGTGCTAATGTTTGTGAGGCATATGCCAAACTGACTTTGAGAATCTTGATGTCTGACCAAAGAATTGTAAAGCTTAAAAATACCTGGGAACCCAAATTGTTAGCAGTGCAAAGTTGAAATATTCCCTCATACAAAAAGCAGATACTTGGTATTTTTTTGGTGGGGAGTTTATTCTTTTCTTTAACAAACATGGCAAAATACTTGGTTATTACCATCCTTAGTTTTGTAAACATTTCATTACTATGGCAGCCCAGTGAAAAGGTGTTTTCTGTCATGTTTCATTATACCTGTGCCCTGGTAGAGTCAGAACTGCTGGTTTGGTTTAGTGTCATCTTGACTGAGTTAAAGAAAAATGAAAATTATTATCTTTTAAACAGCAAACTTGATACATGTTGTAACCTTCACAATGTGTCATTTAAGTTCTTCATAAATGCAACTGTAATAGTGAAAGAATTTGACTTGTTACAACTGGTATACATATCTGTATTTTTATCTTTATTTCCGTGGTTGAACTTCCGTGCTCACTACAGAACAAAGCACAAAATATGCTAAGAAGTAAAAAGGGAGGCTTTTAGTTGTTCTTGGACTTCTGTCCAGATGAAGACTGTTTCATTAGTGCTTATTGATCGAGTAACAGACCCTGGCATATTCAGCAATTGGCTAAATAATGCAGTTCCTGTTAACTAAAGTCACACCACTGTTATCATAGTGCTCTTTTTGCACTCAGTAAAATTGTTTGCTGATCTTCTATTAGTTTAGATTGCATTTTTTTAAAAAAAGTCTTAACTTGGCTCCTATTGAAGGCAGTGAGATTTCAGAAAATGAATTTTGCGTGTTTAATATATATTTCTTATTCTACTCTGAATTCTACCACTGCAAGTGCTTTGATAATCACTGTATTTCACTGAATACATTGTCACTTCTTGCCTGTAGCACTTGGGTTTAATCAGCCAGTACAAAACAAGTGGTTGTGTTTCCAACAAAATACCCTCCTTTTAAAGGATCTTGAAAGAATTATGAGTTACTGTGTCTGTGCAGGTGGGGTTAGGGATTATCTAGTGGTGCTATCTAGGAACTACAGAGTAAAATAATGTTGAAAGGTTTATAAGAGGTCATTAGTTATCCCTAGCTCACTAGGACTATCCCTTAGTCTGGAGAGTATCAACAAGGGATAGATAATTCCAGGTGGGAATGTTTATCTGATCTGTTTTGATTCAAAACATCTCAAGACCATTGGAGCCCAGTGGTTGGACTTGATGATCTTCGAGGTCTCTTCCCACCTTAATGGTTTTGATTCTACAACTGTCTTTTCTAGTGCTTAGTAGTTGTTAGAATCAGAATCCCTTGCCTCAAGGTTGGCTGGTAACTACTTCAAACAAAGCTTTTTGTTTTGCTTCAGTCTTGTTCAGGTGTTTTCAGCAACTTGTTCCTTTCTGAAGAAATTACAAATGGAACCTTTCCTCGAGCATCATTTTATCCGATCCCTCAGGATCCTGCTGCTTGGTTGCATAGCAGAAACTTCCCTGGCTGTTGTGGGACAGCTTCTCTTGTAATCAAAGCTCCTTTTGGAGCCTTGTTCAGATTACAAGCACCCAGAGTTATGGCTAACAATATTATCCTTCCTGTACTGACTATTCCTTATTCTTGGCTACACCAGCTGCTTCTATCCGCTACAAGCGGTTTGTGTGCCCTGCATCACAATTTGCTGGGCCACTGAAATGATCTAATCTTTAAAAAAGGAAAATCTCCAAGAAAAACTTATTGGTATTACCCAGCAAATATTTTTTTAGCAGTGTGGTGAAGAGGATGATGACTTGTCGAACTTCACTGTTTCACTGTGCCTGAGGTCTCACTGCACATTAGTCCTTACTGTACACAGGGAATGTATCGCTCGCCATGGGATCAGTGGGAATGCCACCCCCAGCTGAACGGCTGCAGTTGGCTGCAAACAGCTGAGACACTGCCACAGGAAATCTGTTTTCCTGCTGCAGAGATGAAGTGGACAGTGCAGGGGCTACACCGTGACAGCTATGACAGGCACCATCCCCTGGGTCATGATTCAAACCTCTGACTTTATATAAATTTGGGAAATAAGTGAATGCACAACTCTGTCGTGCCTAATTTTTTTCAGTTATTGTAAAGAGTACTATATATCCTTTTAATTACTCAGAACTAACTTCAGTTGTTTCTATATTGCGTCTTGCAAGAGTGTATTTCCTATAATGTAAAAAGAAATTATCTCAAAACATGTGTGGTAATTTTGAGGAATCAGTTGGGAACATCAGTTTTGTTGACATTAACTCCTGAGTTATTTTTTTATGAGCTGAATGAGAGTTGTCAGCTATGAAGGAAATTAAGACAATTAAAAAATAATGTGTTTCTTTGCTGGTTGTCTCCTTTCTCTGCTGAATGTTTGTTGATACATTTGATAAACTAGTGAGCTGCTAACAAGCTGCAGGATTTTATGTAATCAGGGTTTAAAAACTACCTGCTATTTTTTTCATGTTATAGCAATATGAGAATGGCTTAATTACAAAAACTAATGCAATCTTCTGATATCTTCCCTAAAGGGGGTTCTTTCCTGTGGTGGTTGGCTTTATTAGAAGAGTTCCAGTTCTTGGATATCTCTTGAATTTACCTGGTATAAGCTCGGTAAGTGTTCAGTACTTCATGCAACAATTGAAGCTTCTGCTGTGTTTTATTCCATTCATACAGCACTGACAGAAATGCATCAGAGATAAAGCAAATATAACTTTAGAGCAATGACTTTGGGTGCGTTCCTGTATGGTTCTTGCACCACACAGATCACATTGATTCCCAGGGAGAGACTTCTAGATGTAAAAGGAGCAAAAGGACACGTTTGCAGAAGCTGCTTACGTGATGTGAAGCGGGAGGAGCCCTGGCTTGTGACCTGGAACTCTGGTGTTCTTTCTGCTTCACTCTTGGCCCTGGGTGACCAGATTGGCGAATCCTGACACTGTCCTGTGCCTCTCCTTTTGCCCTTAGAGTGAGGAGGACGCTGTTCCTCTTTGTGCAGTGTTTGGATGTATTTATGAAAAGTGGCCTGTAAAAGCAAACAGTAGAGAACAGTGCTAAGTTTCAGCTTGTATGGCAAATCCAGAAACTCTCATGATGCATAATCATCAGCAGGTATATTTATTAAGGTTTACTGCACCAGGCTACGTCTTGCCATTACTGCAATTTGTATTTTTTCAAATGGAGGTTTCCATGTTCTTAACTAAATAATCAGGGATTTGAAGACAATTAACATGTGCTGGAAAGATGGTAATCTAGGGTGTTTCAGTCAACTACTTTTACTGTGCTAATTTCTGTATGTTTTGACAGAAGCATTTTTAACTTTAGTTTTGAAAGCAACAGTTTTAATAGCTGCTACTAAAAATTAATGGGGGAATTTCTTAGATGGATAGTCTGGTTTTTTAAAAATGAGTGTTCAAGATCATCTGTTTCAGTCTCACAGTTAGGCCAAGTTCTGGCTCATAATTCATGATCAATTGAGTGTTTCATTTGTCAATTGATCTCTCTTAGTCATATTTAATTTGATCATAATGGGGTTAAATCTTGTTTTAAAAAGATAATTGTTAATGTTTTATTCAAAGCCTACGTAGGCTCAGAAGAGAATCCACAGTAATGGTCAGTTGAAATATCTTCCTTGGTCTACTAATGCATGTGTGGCTGAGACTGTATTGTTTTGTTTTAACCATTAAGCTGGCAGTGTTATCTGCATTTCTTCTATTTCCTTTCTCATTCTGTTGCATCCTCATGTTGCACTGTTAATGTCTATATTGAGAAAAACATGTCATGCAGAAACACAATTGCAATGTAAGATTTTTAATTTTCACAAACCTAAACCATGAGACCTCGGTGAGTACTACTCGACTCCCATTTCCAGTCGCATACTAACTGTGCAAGTAGCAAGTAATATTTGAGAGTATCTTCACTGTACGTAAATGTCATCGGCTTAAAACCTTTTTGTCTCCTTTTCTACAGCTTGTAGATAAAGTTGGAGAGAGCAACAACATGGTATAATGACGAGAGGGCCGAAGACTGATTCTAAACTTACTGTATTATTTATAAAATCCTTTTGAAGAATACTCAGCACAAAGATTAAGTTGTGTACAAAGGAAAAAGCTTGTTACATTCTTTATATAACAGTTTAATTTAAAATGTATAGTCAACAAAATACATTAGAAAAGAAGCTCGGCAAGTATGCTTCTAGGAAAGTCACTCCAGAGTTCAGGAATTAAACTGAAGAGGTGAAAGTCATGGAATAACCCATGCTACAACTGTTCAAGACTATTTTTGTTGGTTTTGGAAAACATGCTAGAGGCAATGAACCCTTGTGGAATTGACGGTGCCTGTGCTTTACCTCCTTATTTTGAAGGTGCAGTAGAGCAAACAGGCCTACGTTTTTTAAGGGTGACCCAAATTTACCAACCCTCTGCTTGCTATCCTCAGAGTGCAAAAAAATCCAACAGGAAACTTCTTGTGTAACAAGAGATGCATCTTTGCATGAAGGTTAAGATGACTATTCATCTATAAGTGTATTATGACAATAAAAAGGAAACCCTCCACAGTCCTGTTACAAACATTTTTGTAAATATGTGGCTGAAATAAAACATTTTTATCTTAATGTTTCAAAGCCAAACGTCAGTTGATTGTATTTGCCTTCCGTTTTGGAATATGCAAAAGGTCAATCTTTAATAACTTCAGTCTTAAATTGGTTGGTTCTGAACATGTAGAGCTCAATAGGGAACTCTGGAAACCGGCTTGCATTCCTTCCAGGTTTGTTCTCCGTGAGTCATGTTACATGTGCATCCACAGGAGAATGTAGCCCCTTGTTAGTAACATGAAAACTGTGTAAGATATGCTTAGTTCACAAAAAAATGCATTAGGTTGAGGTGCTGATGTGAACCCTGTGAAATGTAACTTATCAGAATTTGGACCTTTGTTTTTAAACAGTTTGAAACTAAGGTTTCTTTGTTTACTCTGGAACTACACATTGACTTTATTTTTTACAGTAATAAAATGAAAACTCAAAGTTCTGTGTACGTGAGTCTCTGGGGAGAAAACTGAGCGACTGGGGCTGACTAAAGGTCAAGTGCCAATCTCCTTATATTTGTAACTTGTCACTTGGGTTATCTTCAAATAACTTAAAACTTCTATTGGTCACAGCAACAACTTTGCTGTTACAGAGGATTCTTGGCTAACCTGGAATAAATGTCCCCTACTAATGCACCGGTCATGTCATTGGAATGTTAACGTTGTGCACTTTCAATAGTTAGTTATGTAGTGTTCTCACCTAAGAAACCATGATTGCTCAGTGAACTGTATTTCTATAGGCCTTGGGGGGGTTTCTGTTGTTTCACTGTCTTTTCAAATATAATCCTAAAACAAATTACCCCAGGGTAGTATTTCGAGTAGCTATGTAGCCTTACAAGTCTAACGACTGGGGGTTTTTTGGTGTTTTTTTTTTTCTTTTTTGTTATTGTGCAATTAAAATTGGAATTTTCCAAAATAACTTTTAACTTAAAAAGAATCCTCATGTATCAACCCTTTTGAATGTTGCTCTGACATTTATTTGTAAGACATGTTTTATTTTCATTACAACCATATAAATGTCCTTCTCAGACACAAAATTATTCAGTAAAAAAAGAAAAAGTGGTTATATTTACAGTGAATGACATCTGAAAAAATCAGTGGGTTTATTCTATAAATAACCAAAAATGTCTACATTTGCCTGATGGCATGTGTGTTATAGTTTACAGACAGGACTAAATATGATTTGTGGGCTCTACCTCAAGAGATAAACCATTTTGGATAACCCAGTTTTAACTGCTCCTGTAGATCTGTTGTGTGTTACAGTGACTACAAGATAACACTACAACAGCTTAGCAAACTCATCCTGTTTGTTCTGGTAGGGCACTTGTCCGTGCTGTGGGAGCCAAGTGCTGTTTAAAGCAGTCAGAGTTCATCATCTACTTTATAAGTCAGCCAGAAGTTTTGTTCTTGTCTCTCAAAAAATGATGTGATGGGAAAGGTGGATTGCACCACATGACTATGGAGCTCTGGCTGGCAGCAAATTGCTTGGTAAGCTGACGTACCTTCATCAACAGGGAAGCTGATGATGTGTTTCTGAGGTGATTAATGTGTTGCTGTATATGATGTTTTAGCTCTCTGAAAATCCAGGATGTAGGCAGGTCATCTCACTTATATTTAAGTCATTGTTTTAAATCAGAAGTCAATTTTTTGTCACACTGTTTTTGTGAACTGTTGTGAAAAGCATCCAAGGGCACAGAATTGTATGTTGAATTTAGCATAGTCTTTATCCCTCAAGGTAATGTTGTCTTTGAGACGGTTTTGCCAAGACAAATGTGGGTGGCAGCAAAGGTCAAAACAACTTAGCCTTAAAGTGTTTCTGTCCTTGTAAAAATATCTCTAACAGAAACATGCTTGGAACGTTTCCCCTTTTAAATGTAATTTATAATTGCTGCTTTAAAACTCATAAGGATGGATCCTATTCTGAGCAAATGAATACTGTAAATATCCTTGTCATACCTTGAATAAATGGGTACCTTTTTCTATAATTTGTCTTCGTGTCTCTTTACATGCAGACTTGACAAAAGTGTTTTGGTAAGCTTTCCTTTCCAAGGGGGAGGAGGTGCATGCTGTTAGTGCTTGGCTACACTGTTGTGACTTTTACAGTAAATAGTGTCTGGGATTAATCTTAAATGGAAAGGTTTTCTCTCTTTCTTAGAATAAACCTTTTACATAAACATACCCCTAGTTTTTCATGTTCCAGTTTCAAACACATCGCAACAAAATGTGGAAGTTACAGTTATGTTGGGAATAGTTTCTTTATTAAACTACCTCCTTACCAAGGAAATAACTGTGAAACTTCAGGAGGAAAAGGGCACGTGTCTAGAAGTTAGAGCAGGTTTTCAGTTTAGTTCAAGGATGTGACCATGACTTCCCTATATCCTAGAGAGTGACCTGATAAGCAGGTTTACCATTCCATGGTGCTCAGCAAACTTCCAGCCCATTGTTGAGGATTTTCAGAGGGAGCAGAACAGCAAAAGCAAGGATTTTAACTGGTTGTTGAGGTGGTGTGTTGGTGTTATGGGCCAGTTACTGCCCTAAAAACTTACTCTGACTCAAGTTCCAGCCTCTCAACTAACCTTTACCAGGTTTGTTCCATGGTAAGGATTCCAAAGAACTGGCACTTCCTAACATAAAAGAAAACAAATTCACAGCAATGTCTGATTACATTTGTTAAACTGTGAGAGGTATAAGGTATAATTTTAATCTGTACATAGCTCGTGGCCCGTTCCTTTCAGTGACTAGAGGCCATTCATTAACCAGGAATGCTTTGGCCTTGTTACTGCTCACAGTATGGTGCCACAGCAGTTTAGAGTCTCCGTCAAAAGCAACGTAAAGAAAGGAATCTTGCCCCTCTGGCAGATGTCAAAATCAAGGTTTTATGGAATTAATTTAAATTGTTGATTCACCAGACTTCAAGGCACAGACTCATCTACTTGTTGCCTGTCTGATTCTCTTGATTATCAGTCAGGCTGGAGAGTAGAGTCCATGTCCCTAAACCAAACATGTGTCTCCCAGCTGCCTCTTCAGAGGTCACTGCCAGCCCTTGGACTCCTGTCTCTGTCTGGCTGCCACATCCTGGCTTGCTCTGGCTGTTCAAATTGCCATTACCAGCTGTGACATCACGAGTGTGTCACTACCAGACTGATTTACCCAGCAGAATTTGTCCTTTGTGGCCCATTTGTTCTAAGTTTTACCCCTCTGGTTATTGATCTTGGCACATTAAAGCATCTTTTAGAAGACTTGGATCTTATGCTGAGCCCAACAAAGAGATTCTGCAGCTGCTGTAATCCCTTGCCAAGCCTAGCTTCAGCACAATTATATGGTAAAGCATCCTCCTCAAATATATAACAATTTACAGAAAAATGACAGGACCGACGTGGTGTAATTTGGTGTGGAATTCATTATCTCAGATTAGGTGTTATGACTGATAATTTGGGATGTGGACCAATATCAGTTTATAGAAATGCACTTAGGTGTTGGTTACGAGTCATTAATGGTAGTTTAATTAATAGTTTACCCCCAGAGGTAGCCCATGCCCAGAGGTGTGCCTGCCAAAATCCATCTGCACTCCTGTGGGCTTTATAGCAGGTACCATTTTCCATTGAGCACCACTTTTCTGGGGAACGTGGTGGATCTATGAAAATATGTAAATCGTATCACTCATAGAAGCATTGAGTTCCTGGCTGGTGATGGTCCTGCGGTCAGGGGTCTGCCCACCGCCACCAGGAGGAGCCACAAGGAAGTGAAATTCCCGAGGTGAGGGTGGCGGGAGTGGCCCGGGGACTTGGGGGGATCATCGGCTCCCTGTGAGCACCAGCACGGTGCCAGCAAAGCCTGGGCGAGGGGTCATGGGTTGATGTCTCGTATGCTCAAGGACAGAACATACCTTTTATCACCTTCCTTTGCATCAGCTGCACCGCAAGCCAACAGCTCCGGATCCTGTTGCCGGTAAGTGGGATCTGGGAAGCAGCTTGAAAATTCCTGGCTGGTTTGTGGCTTCTGGAGCCTTTCTAAGCTTGACTTAATTTAGACCGGGAAATTTCAACGTGGCTTTAAAGCACAAAGAGGATGTTGAGCTTTTTATAGAGAGCCGTCGGTGCCGGAACGCTGTGTGCCAGCCCTGGCTGGCAGGATTTGAGACAGTCGGGTTGTCCTTTGGAGATCGGGAAAAGCAAGCTTCCACTTGGCACAGCTCAGCTGCCTCCTTTTTCTCCAGGCACTCCGCAGTTCTTCCAGAAACGTCAGAGAAATGAAGATTTCACATTGATTTCTGCAATTTAGTTCTACTTTGAAATAAAAGGCAGTTTTGACCCCAAGTGTTTTACACCACCAAAACAAACAAACAAACGAAAACACACAAGAAAAAGTACCAAACCCCCACATTAGGTCAGTCTCCAAATATTGATTTAGTTTTCACCTTGAAACCAAGCAGTTCTGCAGTGAGTCTTCATGTGCCCTAGCTGAGTGGCTTTTATCATTAATTACCTAATTTTGGGCATCCAGAGGAGGGTAACAGAGCTGGGGAAGGGTCTGGAGCACAAGTCATATGAGGAGCAGCTGAGGGAGGTGGGCGGAGTTCAACCTGGAGAAAAGGAGCTCAGGGGTGACCTTATCGCTCTCTACAATTGTCTTACAGGAGGTTGTGGTGAGCTGGGGCTCAGCCTTTTTTCGCAGTGATGGGACAAGAGGAAATAGTGTCAAATTCTGCCAGGGGAGGTTTAGATTGGATATTAGGAAAAAACTCTTCACTGAAAGGGTTGTCAAGCCCTGGAACAGGCTGCCTAGGGAAGTGGTGGAGTCACCATCCCTGGAGGTATTTAAAAGACAGGTGAGTGTGGCACTCAGGGAAGTTGTTTAGTGGTGGACTTGGCAATGCTGGGTCTCATTGAACTTAAAAGGCTTTTTCCCACCAAAACAGTTCTGTTATTCTATGAACTTGTGTGGAGAGTTATCCTCAACTTGCTTCTTTCCCCCCTTAAAATAAAGCCTACAACAGCACAAAACTTCAGATGTTTCCCTTCTCTCACTTTTCTGCCAGTTTTTGAGCAGGCCTAAGTGGGGGACAAAGAAGTGACTTAGCAATTACGGAATCTTCAGAGTGACCTGAGATGGGGAAAATGGGCTGGCAAAGAATCCTGGTGCTTCCCTTCAAATGTGAAAGAGTGGGTTGATTTTGATGAGAGCTCAGGATTTACTCACATGGTCCTGGTGCTTAAAGCCTCAAACAGGAGCAAGCAGGGGGTGGGATCTCCTCTGCTGCTGCTCGTGGCATCTCCCCGTGCCCCCTTTCCCACCTCTGGTAAGTGCCCTTTGAAGGCAGGGAGGGAGTTTAGATGCCTTTTGAAGGCTTTGCTCTGCAGTGTGACTGACACTTCACCTTCTCTGAAGTGAAGGAAGCTGAGCCCGGTAGTGCTGAGGCGAGGAAAGTGCGGCCA